AAGAAACGACGGGGGGGGAAAAAAGGGCAACTACGCTATTCAAGGCTCCACGCCGCTCATCGTCGGTCTCTGCGTCGGCGCGGCCGTCCTCGTCCTCGTCCTCGCCGTCGTCGTCTGCAAGCTCCGCGGCCCCCCCGCGGAGGAGTTGTCGATGCCAGAGGGCACGGAGGTCCAGCCCGAGGCCTGAAGGGGCGCGATGAGCCGCGCCTCGAAGCGATGAGAGGTGACGGCCACGCCCCCAAGTCGTCCCGACCCCGCGTCCGGACCATGCCGCCGCGAGCTTCCTGAAGCCGGCGGATCCTACCCTCCGCCCGTGCGCGCGCGCGAGCCCCCCGCGACCGACGTCGCGACGAGTCGGCCCGCGAGTGATCGCGCGCGCGTTCCCCAAGATAACGGGCGAGCGTCAACTTAGATAGACAGCGACCGCACGAAGCTGATGGGCACGTCGTCGGGCCACGTGAGCTCGTGCCGCTGGAGCTCGTCGTCGCTGCTCAAGGACTCCAAGGTCGAAGGCGGCGGCTACGCCCCAAAGCCCCTTCCCCCAAAGCGCCTTCCCCCAAAGCCCTCGACCTAAGTGAAGCCGCCCGCCGCGCCCTCGCCTCGTCGAGCTTGGCGCGAGCCGCGCGGACGTTCTCCGCGGCCGCGCGGCGGATCATCTCCACCTGGGTGCGCGAGCTCCCCCCCCCCCACACACCCCGAGGGACCCAGAGCGCGCGCCTACCTCCGCCCCCCCCACCCCTCACGGCTCGGCGCCCTGCTTCGGGCGGCGGCGGCTCGCGGTCTTGGGCCGCGCGGAGCCCGCGCGCGTCGCCGTCGTCTTCGCGGCGCCGACGACGGCGCGGCGGTCGTCGGCCGGGTGCGCGGGCTCCGGCGCCGCCGCCGGCGCGAGGTCGCCGGGCTGGGGCCCGTCGCCGGAGGGGACGACCTCGACGTCGGCCATGTCGATGGGCGTCTCGAGGATGACCTCGATGTTCGACCGCATCGTGGGCCCCTCGTAGTCCTGCGTCGTCCGCTCGGGCGCGTCGAGCTCGAGCACGGCGATGTCGTCATACTTGTAGCGCGGGTTCGGGTCGTACTGCTTCCGGTGGCGCGCGTACTCCGTCTCGGGCCGCCGGAGGCCCGGCGCGGACGTCGGCCGTTTCGCCGCGCGCGCGTCGCGGCCCTGCCCTCGAGGCTCCACGCGTCCTTGTCGTCCTGCCAGACCGTGCGGTCCTCGAGGGCCTTGCACCGGTCCGGGGGCACGAAGAGCTCGAGGACCATCTCCTTGAGCTTGATCTGCCGCGCGAGCTGGCGGATCGTGTCGAGCATGTCCTCGCCTGTGTGGAAACCAAATCTTCAACCCGACTTCAATGTGCGCTTACGCGACAGGTTCGACGCAATCTCTTCGGCTGCGCTTCGAGAACTCGACGAGAGCAATCGATCCGTCCAAAAATCAGCCGAATCGACTTCGATTTGACCGAGCTAGAGAATGCTGAAGTTTGGTCAGGACCACCCAAACCAGTGGTTGGTTTCCACACAGGTCCTCGCGCTCGCGCTGGAACTCGCCCTGGAGGTCCGCGATCTCGGCCTCGGCCTCGTTGACCTTGCGCACGAGCTTCTCGAGCTTGCGCGTCTTCTTGTCGACCTCCTCCTCGATGGACGAGTACTTCTCCGACAGGTCCTCGCGGACCTCGTCGCGCTTGCCGAGCTCCTGCGCGAGCGCGCGCTCGGCCTCCTCCTTGTCGACGAGCTCGCGCTCGGCCTTGCGGAGCTCGGCCTCCTGGGTGGCGGCCTTGTCGAGCATCTGGCCGCCCTTGAGGAGCTTCGCCTCCATGCCCTTGAGCTTCGCCGCGAGCGACCGCTTCTTCTCGGACGCGCGCTTCCGCTCGAGCTCCTGGCGCACGAGGTCCGCCCGCAGCTTCTCGCGCTCCTCCTCCGTCTCCGCCTGGCGCTCCAAAATCTCCGCGAGGTCGCGCTCCGCGCGCTCGCGGATCCGCGACTTCTCCGCCTCGGCCTCCTCGTGGACGCGCTGGAGCTCCTCCTCGGAGATGCCGATCTTCACCTCCTTGACGACCTCCTTCTCGACGATCTTCTCGACCTCGACGACCTCGCGCGACACGCCGGGCCCGTAGCCGCCGCCGGCGCCGCCGCCGGAGCCGCCGCCCGCGAGCTGCGCCTTGAGCCGCGCGATCTCGTCCGTGAACTCGCGGAGCATGGCGTCCTTGGGGTCCTCGTTGATCTTGGGCTTGTTCTTGATGTTCTTCGCGCGGTTCGCGTAGCGCAGCGTCGACACGGTCTCGTCGTAGTTGTAGCCCGCGGGGCCGCAGTTCGCGCACATGACCGTCTTCGTGTTGCCGCCGAGCGAGTCCTGGAGGAGGCGCGTGAGCTTGGAGTCGCGGTAGGGGATGTGCTGCGACTTGCCGTCGACGAGGGCCGAGATGACGTTGCCGAGCGCGGACAGCGACAGGTTGATCTTCGTCGCCTCCTTGAGCCGGTCGCCCGTCGCGCCCGTCTTCCCCTGGCGCTCGGAGCCCGCCAAATCCACGAGGTTCAGCTTGCCCACGGTGATGTGCTCGCCGCGCACCTCGTCGGTCTCGGCGCGCTCGACGATGATCGTGAAGATCGCGTGCGACCGCGACGACCCGGCGTTCATGAGCGTCGCGCCGACGGACCGGTTCTTCTTGCCCGCCTGCATGACCTGGTCGATCTCGTGGCTCGACTTGACGATGAAGGACGTGAGGTCCTTGACGTAGACGCCGCTGTCGACGTTCTCCTTGAGCTCGAGCTTGTTCTTCGGGTCCTTGGACAAAAGATCGCGGATCTCCTCGTTGTAGATCTCCAGATAGGACGCGCGCACGAGGAACTGCTGCCCCTCCTGGGCCAGGGCCACGCGGTCGAAGATCTGCTGGAAGGCGTTGGGGATGATGCCCCGGAGCTCCGGCGGGTCCGGCACGCCCTCCATCGTGAACGTCTTGCCCGCGCCCGTCTGCCCGTACGCGAAGATCGTGCCGTTGAAGCCCGCGAGGACGGCGTCGACGACGGGCGCGCTGCAGATGTCGTAGAGCTTGCGCTGCGTGATGTTCGGGTCGAAGACGGCGTCGAAGGTGAAGGCCTTGGGCGGGTCCGACGCGTCGGCCTTGGGGTTGTTGCACGTGATGCGGCCCGTGGCCTCGTCGGCCACCGTCGCCGCGTCGTGGCCATCCTGGATCTCCTTCCGCGACAGGGGCCGCACGCGCACGACGACCTTGACCGTCTCCTCCGCCTTCTCCGGCATGGCGGCGACGCGAGCTGCCCGAGGCCCACCTTTTGAGCCGCGAGCTGCCCGCTGCAACCCCGCAGCAACGTTGAGCACCTCGCCCGTCATCCACGACTTCAACGATGGGGGTGCCGGCCTGGTTTCACGCCGCCGACGCGTCCGAGGAGCCACCGCGCCCATGTTACCCCAGGGCGTCCTTGATGGCGGACGCGGGCGTCACGCCGAGCGCGTCGTCGAGCTTCGTCCGCAGCTCGAAGTTCTCGACGTTCTTCGCGACGAGCTGGTCCTGGAGGAGCGTGATGAGGTGCTCGTAGTGGGCGACGAGGCGCGCCTTCTCCTCCCGCCAGGCCGCGCCGCCGTCGGGCCGCAGCGCGTCCTCCGCGGCCCGCGCCGCGGCCTCCGGCGGCGTCGGCGCGAGGTCCCCGAAGACGTCGTCGGGCTTCGCCGGCGAGATGCCCGGCGGCGGCGGCGGCAGCGCCCGCGCGAGGGACCCGTACTCCGGCGGCGGCTCGTCGTCGTCGGAGAAGCCGCGCTTGCCGTGCGGCGTGGGCACGAGGTCGTACTCGGGAGGCGGCGGGCTGAAGGGCGGCGCCGCGGCGGTCGCGAAGGGGTGCACGTGGGGCGGGTCGTCGCGGGCGAAGGGCGCCCGGGGCTTCGCGGCCTGGAGGAGCCGCTCGCGCCGCGTCGGCGCCTCCGGCGCGCGCGGCGGCGGCGCCGCGGCCGCCGGCGCCGCGGCCGCGGCCGGCGGCGGGCTCCGCCGCCGGCGCCGCGGCGACTTGTGCAGGGCCCGGCGCGCCGCCTTCTTGAAGTTCGCCACCGCGGACAGCTTCAGCGCCGCCGTCGCGAAGTCCAGGAGGTCGAGGCACGTCGTCCGGTCGCCGGCCGCCGAGACGACGAAGCACGCGCTCGCCACCGCCTCCTCGCCGACGACGCGGGCGATCTTGGACTCCCGCACGGGCACGAAGGGCCGCCGCTCCGCGACGGCGCTCACGACCCGCGAGAGGCTGAGCTTCTCGTTCGCGGTCGCGACGGCCGCGACGGCGACGACGAGCGTGTGCGCGCCGCCGTCCGGCGCGCGCGCCGACAGCGCGAAGCGGATCACGACGGAGCAGTCGGCGTGCCGCCGCTTCAGGCCGTCGCGCACGAGCTGGAGGCCGCCCGCGCCGTCGCCGCAGGGGCGCCACGTCGTCTTGCCCTCCTCGCCCGGCACGCGGCCGAGGAGGTCCTGCGGCTTCCGCGCCGCGGGCGCCGACCCGTCGCCGACGGCCGTCACGGCGACGGCGACGGCGCACTCGCAGCCGTCGCGCCGCAGCTGCGCGGCCCGCTCGCCGAGCCAGGCCAGGCACCGCGGCGCGAGGCCGCGCCGCTCCGCCGCCGCGAGGTCGCCGACGCACGCGTCCAGGCTCCCCGGCCCCACGCAGAGGATCAGGCGGCAGAACGAATCGACGGCCAGCGTCGGCGCGACGGCGGCGAACAGGACGTCCGGCGACGGCGCCGTGAGCACGCGGTCCACCTCGTAGATGGGCATGTCGCTGCCCGGCTGCGCCTCGAGGCCCACGCGGCTGCTCGACAGCTGGATCGTCGGCGTCTCCTCGTCGGGCTCCTCGAGCACGCAGATCACGTGCGCCATCGCGACCTGCCGGGCTGCGGCGGCCGGCGGCGCGGCGGTGGCGGTGGCGGGCAGCCCCAAACCGTGGGCTCGATCGGCCGACCACTCCGTCGTGCGACGTTCCGGCGGCCGACCTCGTGAGAATCACCGCGCAGTGCCGCGACGTTCCTGTCGTGAGTCCTACGCCTCGATGCGTTCCGCCGACGCGCTCTGCGACCGCTTCCTCAGCCTCCTCCGGGAGGCCAGGTCGACGCGGTGGACGAGCGACCGCGAGTGCTTCCTCGCGCTCCGCGACCGGTCGGCCAACGCCGTGACGCCGGCGTCGCTCGTGCGCGCCTTCAAGGACTACTTCGCCGTCGTCCTCGACGACGCCCACGCGCGCCACCTCGCCTACGCCCTCGGCGGCGACGACGAGCGCCGCCACGTGTCCTACGTCCGCTTCGCCGAGACCGTCGGGTCCGAGTCCTACTTCGACGCGCGGCGGTGGCGCGTCGACGACGGCCTGGCGGAGCCGCCGTCCGCGGGCCTCGAGGGCGGCGCGTCGCCGAAGCAGGTCGCCTTCAACCCCATCGTGAGCCCGCCCCTCGGCCCCCTCGACGCCTTCCCCTTCGACGCCGAGTCCGCCGACGACGCGTTCCGCAACGCGCTCCTCCTCAAGCACGAGTCGATCGCGGAGTCGTGGCTCGCGCCTGTGTGGAAATCAAATATTCAACCCGACTTCAATGTGCGCGTAATCGAACGGTTCGGACCAGACTCTTCAGCTGTGCTTCGAGAACTCGACGAGAGCAATCGATTCGTCCAAAAATCAGCCGAATCGACGTCGATTTGGCCGAGATAGAGAGTTCTGAAGTTTGGTTGGGATAACCCAGCTCACTGTTTGATTTCCACACAGGCTCGCGCTCAACGCGGCGCGCGACGGCAAGCTCGCCCTCGGCGAGATGGCCGCGGGGCTCCGCCTCCACGTCGACGGCGAGCTCACGGACGACGAGTGCCGCCGCGTCTTCGCGCTCTACAACGCGCGGACCGACGGCCCGCTCCAGTACAACGACTTCGCGCGCCGCTTCGCCAAGGACGCCATCCGCATCCCCCTGTCGTCGCCGGCGCGGGCCCAGGTCGTCCGCCGCGCCGCCGCGGGCATCCCCTGCTCGCCCATCGCCGTGGACGAGGCCTACCTCGGGGGCTGGTTCGCGCACGAGCCGCCGACGCGGTCCGGCCCGTCCTGGCGCGAGGCCGCGGGCTTCTAAGCGTCGCCGAGCCGCTTAGGGCCGGGGCTGGGACTTGGGCGCCCCGGCCGGCCGCGCGCGCGCCTCAGGCCGCGGCGAGCGCGTCGATGAAGGCCTTGACGTCGCCGACGCCGCCGAGCGTGTGCGTCGCGTAGGTCGCCGCGGGCCGCTCCTTGGCCTCCTTCTCGGGCGTCACGAGCACCGTGACGGCGCCGAGGGGCTTGAGCGCGCGGAACGCGTCCTCGTCCGTCGTGTCGTCGCCGACGTAGACGGGCAGCACGCCCCGGTACCACTCCGACGGCGAGAAGCCGACGGGCGAGTCGCGGTGGTCCGGCGGCGGCGGCGGCGGCGGCGGCGGCGGCGGCGCCTCGCCGCCGGAAGGCGCGCCGCCGTCGTCGTCCGCGGGATCCGCGCCGTACTCCTCGAACGACATCGCGCGGCGCCGCAACAGCTCCAGGAGGTAGAGCACGGCCTCGCCCTTGTCCCAGCGCACGTTGGGCTTGAGCTCGTAGACGCACTTGCCCTCGGACCGCTTGAGCGCGCCCGCGAAGGGCGCCTCGCGGAGCATCGCGTCGACGACGGCCGAGACCGCGGGCCGCTCCGGCTCCGCGACGTTGCGCCAGTGCACGGACACGGCGAAGCGGTTGTCCTCGACGGAGGCGCCGGCGACGTGGGCGAGGCTCCGGCGCAGCGCGTCGCGCGCCGCGGCGAGCACGGGGATGATCTCCGCGGACACGGAGTGGCGGAGGCCGCCGGGCCCGTCGATGTCGAAGCCGTGGCTCCCCGCGTAGTAGAGCTCCTCGAGCCGGACGAACTCGCGGATCTTCTCGCGCGCGCGGCCGCTGACGACGGCCACCGTCGACTTGGCCGCGAGGGTCTTGACCGCGTCGCGCATCGGCTCGGAGAGCGTCGCGGCGGCGGGGTCCTTGACGATGGGCGTGAGCGTGCCGTCGTAGTCGAGGAAGACGACGAGCTGGCGCCGCGCACTCGTCGCGCCGCCGGCGAGGGCCGCGGCGATGTCGAGCGCGCTCGGCAGCGCGCGCCAGTCGGGCGTCTTCTTCGGTTGTAGGACCGGGCTCGGCGCCTTCGACGGCGGCGGCGCGGCGGGCCGCGGCCGCGGGGACCGGTCGATGGAGTTCTCCAGGGCCGTCAGCGCGTGGGCCGACGCCGCGCGGCTCAGGTTCCGCGGCGACGCCGCCTCGCCTGCGCGGGAGATTCGTTCGGCGGGGAGCGGCGGCGCGCCTCGGCGCGGGGACGCGCCCGCGGTCGGCTTCGCCGCCGCCGCCAGGCCGTAGGCCTTGCCGCCGGTCGCGCCCAGCGCCGGCTCCGTGCGGCTGGGCGTGAGGATGTTCAGCCCGCTCCGCGGCGGCACGGCGCGCGACGGAATGTCATTGGCCTGGGCGTAGTTCTGGACCTGGGCGAGCTTCTCGTGCTCGAGCAGTTCCGCCATCTGCGCGCGTGCCTCGTGTCAGGAGGCCATTCGCAGCCGCGCGCCGCCCCCAGAGCTGGGGCGGGGCGGCGGTCGGTCGCGAGGCCCAGCGGACACCGCCGAGATGGGCCCGAGGCAAGACGAGGTCGAGCTCGAGTCTTCAGCTCTGGACCGGCCGCCGGGGGTGTTTTGTCGCTGCTCGGCGCGCTCGTGCGCCGCAGAAAGCGACGCGAGCCGGCTAGGCTTGGGGCTGGCGAGTCTCGCGTTCTCGAGTGGAAGCTCGGCGGCGGCCTTTTGTCGTTTTTTCGAAGTACATAGCGCCGGCGGACCGCGGCCGCGGCCTTCTTTCCGCGTGTAATACGACGTGGGCGAGGTGGGGGGCCAAGAACTACCACGCTTTCTCTTGTGACACGCGACGCGCGCCGTGTTGAACCTTGTAGGACCGCGAGCCGACGTGTCCACTGCGCATGGGGCGCCTGCGAAAATGCAGCGTGAAGGTAATATCGACCGCTTCGCCGGGGTGCGGTCGTAGATCGCCTCGCGTTCGACGAACGAGCAAAGCAGCCATCGCCTCCACCCATCGATACGTTGTGCGCACGCACCCCGCCGACGCAAACTTACTGCCGAGCACCTCTAGCCCGGCCCATCCCACCCGTCGACCCTACTAGTCGACCCCCACCGCTTTTCGGCGCCCCGTTCGCCCCTCTCCCGGAGTAAACCGCCTTCGCCGGCTAGAAGACAGCAGCGATGGCCTGTTAGTCGTGCCCCCGCGCGACCACAACCTCGGCCTCCGCCGAGCTCGACTAGCCCTCGCTCCCCCACCTCGCACACCGCATCATGGCGCTTTTACTCCCGAAGCCGATCCTGAAACGTTCGGCCGCAACCGCCCCGCTTCGGCAGTCGTTTTTCGACGCGACGCCCGACGAGGCCCGGTCCTCCCCCGAGGCGGCCCGCATCCGTACGACGGTCATGACCGCGTACAAGAACCTCGGCTTCACGGGGCCCGCGTTCGCCCTGCCGTCGGGCCGCGTCGTCACCGAGGACCTGTGGGAGTCGGCCCTCGAGGTCGCGCTCGACGACACCGCCGACTACGGCCTCGACGCCCTCCGCGACTTCTCGCTCGAGCGCTGGCTCTCGGCGAAGGTCCACGCCGAGGGGAACACGGACCAGCGGGCCCGCCTCGAGGAGCTGCTCCAGTCCCTCGACGTGCCGGCCGAGCCCGTCGACGAGTACCGCGCGGGCCTCCCCGTCGACTTCGCCGACGTCATGCACCAGCCGCTCCAGGAGGTCGAGGTCTACCGCGGCCTCGACGACCTCGTGCCCGAGGACGTCGTCCACTCCGGCGCACTCCCGCCTGACGACGATCAGGACGCGGACGTGCCCGAGGACGGCGACGCGGAAGACGCCGCCTAGAGCGGCACGCGCGCCCGGCCGCGCGGTTTTCGTTAAACCATCTCGCCGTATCATCAACCTGGCGCGACGGGAGGGGAGACACTCGCCGCGCGAGGGTTCGGCGGCGGCGGCGTGCGCCGCGGCGGTTTCGCCCCGGAAGTCGCCCCGGGGCCCGGCCGGCGCCTGGGAAGGACCGTGACTTCAGAGGCACGCCGCGCCGGTTGGGCACCGGCGCCGGCCTCGTGTCCGCGACCGCCGCCCCGCTACCGGAATTCGAAGCGCGGCGCCCGCGAAACCGCCGAGCGTCGTCTGTTTCGAGAGAATCGCCTCTTACGGGGCACAACAGCGGAGTTTCTTCGGGAAAAGCCATGCGGCCCCATCGTGGCGACGGGGCCGGAGCGGCGGGGGCGCGACGGCCACCGGAGCGTCAGGGCTCGATGACGTGCGTCGCGGACGTGAGCGAGATGGCCTCGAGGGCGTCGTGGAGGACGTCGAGGTCGTCGCGGTCGTCGGGCGCCGCGGCGAACTTGAGGAGGGGCGCGCCGGAGCCGTCGCCGCCGACGTCCGCGCGCTTCCAGACCTCGAAGGAGCAGTAGTCGACGTCGCGGGCGCAGTCCGCGCAGGACCGCGGCGCGGGCCGGTTCCGCAGGGGCAGGTCGCCCTCGCGGGACGCGGCGTCCTCGAGGGACGAGGCCAGGGGCGACTCGTCGTCCTCCTCGGACTCGGGCACGTCCTCGAGCGTCGGCGCGCGGCGACTTCTCCGGTTGCGCTTGCCGGCGCTCGGCGGCGGCGCGGCCGCGACGTCCGCGACGACGTGGTCGCCGCCGATGACCGCCGCCCACTTGGCGAGGTTCTCGCCGCCCTGGCGCCGCCACGTGCGCCGGTCCTCGTCGGAGCGGAAGACGCGCAGCGCGCCGTCGACGAGGTCCACCGAGTAGAAGGCTTGGCGCCACGCGAGCGCGCCCCGGTCGCAGCCCTGGAAGCGGCACCGCGCGAGGACGTGGACCTCGCCCTCGACGAAGGGCGGCGTCTTCTCGGCGACGAAGGACGGCGTCTTCTCGACGAAGAAGGAGGGTGTATTCTTGGCGACGACGGACGTGTTCTCGGGCGCGTCGCCGACGACCGAGTCGCGGGACACCTGGCGCGTCATCGGCTCGCCGGCGGGGCACCGGAGCCAAGCGGCGTCGCAGGACTTCTGGAACTTGCTCGTGAGCGGGGGCACGCAGGACAGGGCCATTTCGTGGGCAGGTAGGCTTCTCGCGCTCTCCCGAAGGTTCTCGGAGCGCACGGACCGCAACGAGTTGCGAACGCGGGGCGGCGCGACCGCGCCAGGGGCGGAGGGGTTGCACGAGGCGCGGCAGACCTTGGCGTTGCAAAGGGCCGGCGCGCGCGCAGCGAACTGACCGCTGATTCTGTCTGATGCGAAGGTTGACTGCAGTCGACCTGGGGCGTCAGGGCCTTCTTGGCGTGCCAGAGCCTTCAACGCCAATCAGCCGATGGCGCCGACGCCCTCGATCTTGATCCGTGATAATCTTGCCCCTTTTACCTCGTCTCCTGAAACGTGTGTCTACGTCGAACAAGGTCCTCAGCACACCGAGAGCCTACCGAGACCTCGGATTCTGCCGGCCGAAACAAAGCAGTGCCGCCGCGAGGTACGCAGCAACCGCCATTCCCTTTTGCACTCCTTTCCCACCCCCAAAAACGCGACACGCCTACTTTTAGGCGGTCTTCCTTCGCCACCCCGGGGGGCGGCGGGCGCGGCGCTCCGACGTGCGTCGGCGCCGCGGCGCGGCGGCGCGCGCGCCTAGTGGGACGAGAGGCCGCGCTGCGTGTAGAGGGGGTCGTTCTTGACGCGGGGGTCGTTCGCGTTGAGCATGGGCTGGGCCAGGAGGCCCTCGCCGCTCCGGGACCGCGGCAGGTCCGTCAGCGGCAGGCCCTGCTGGAGGTCCGCCAAACCTCCGAGCGAGTTCCCGGAATGCGTGCGGCCGCCGCCCATGCCGCCCGCGCCGCCGGAGCTCCGGAGGAAGTCGCCGCCCTGGCGGCCGCCGAAGGACGACAGCGCCGGCCCGTTCTGCGACTCGGACCATCGCCAGTCGTCGAGGTTCAGCGAGTCGACGTCCGCGATGTTGAGGTCCCAGTCGTCCGACGCCAGCGACGACTTCGAGTTCGTCCGCCGCGCGACCCGAAACCCGCCGCCGCCGGCGCCCGCCAGGTCGCCGCCGGAGCCGTGCTTCCCGCGCTGGCGGTCCGGCCCGTGGCCGCCGATCTCCGTCATCTGGCCGTTGTCGAAGGACCCGACGGAGTGGATCGACTGGTGGCTCGCGAGCCGCTTCCGGATGCCGCCGCCGCCGTCGCCGGGCGCGAGGTACTTGGACAGCGACCCGCCGCTCCCGGAGTTGAGCAGCTCGCCGGACCCCGCGCGCTGGGGCGGCGGCGGCATGGCCGCGACGTCCGCCTCGCGCGAGCCGCCGCGCGGCTCGTCGAAGCGCTGGCTCTGGCGCTGCTGCTGCACGAGCGTGTCGAGCTCGTGGAGGAGCGCCTCGTCGGAGATCACGGGCGCCGGCGGCAGCTGGGGCAGCACGGACATGGCCGGCAGGGGCACGCCGCTGTGCATCGGCGCCACCGTGCTCGACCACGCGCCGTGGTGCGCGGCGCCGGCGCCGCGGCCGCGGCCGTCGTCGTAGTCGTAGGCGTCGCGGGGCGCCGGCGCGGCCGCCGGCGGCGCGGGCGGCGGCCGCGCGTCGTCGTTCGTCGCGCTCCGGTTCGCGGCGCTCGAGCCGCTGCCCTGGCGCCGCGACCGCGTGATGCCCCGGAGCAGGTGCGGCTCGCCGCGCTGGAAGAACTTGTGCCAGTAGGCGCCGCTCGAGGCGCCCTGCGTGATGCGCCGGAACCCGTAGAGGTTCAGCTGGCGGATGAAGGACGCCCACTTGTTGTGGCAGAAGTGCGCGGGGAGCACCTCCTCGCAGAACCGCGTGAGGTCCCGGACGATGAACGCGAGGCCGTTCTCGCACCAGCTCACGATGGCCTCGTCCTCGGGCACGTTGCTGTGCGAGTCCACGAGGTCGTAGAGCTTCGCCGGGAACCTGGGGGGCGGGGGGGGTCGCGCGCGGCCCGCCGGGAGCGAGCGAAAAAAGGGGGGCGGCGCCGCGCGCGCCGCGCGGGTCCGCCCCGGCGGGCCCGGGGGGGCGCGCGCGGCGCGGCGGGCCGCCGCGGACGCCGCGGGACGCACGAGCCGCGCGCCGACTTCTGGTCCGCCATGGGTAAGATCCGAGGCCGCGCGGCGAGTTTTGGCGCGCTCGCTCAAAGACTGTCAAAAGGCCCCGGGCGCGGGGAAAAATGAGTCCCGCCGCGTCGGGGACCACGTCGACGGCGACGACGCGGTGAGCCCGCGGCGGAAAGCGCGGCGGGCGGTGGAACTGGGGTTTGCAGACGGGGCGGAGAGGCGGCGCCCGAGCACTTTTGCTCAAGTAGATCCGGGCGGCGCTCATCAGTGGCCTCAACACGACCGCAGCGCGTTCGAGGAAGCCGCGGCGGCGCGGTTGGTTGTGCCCGTCGAGCGCCGACGAGGGGCAGCCCGCGCGGCCGCAGCCAGCCCGTTCGAGGAAGCCGCGGCGGCGCGGTTGGTTGTGCCCGTCGAGCGCCGACGAGGGGCAGCCCATCGCGACGATGACCGGCGACACGACGGTGTCCCTCGCCGACTACCTCGCCGACGCGCCGCGGAACGCGGCGCGGCGCGCGGCGCAGGAGGCGGACTGGGACCTCAAGGGCGCCGAGGACGCGCGCCAGCTCTTGTACGAGCGCGAGGTCGCCTGGAAGTACGGCGCCCTGACGGCGCGGGCCATCAACGCCTACTGGCGCGTCGACACTTTGTTGCGGGGCCAGGCGCAGGCGGGCAGCCCCCTCGCGGCCGTCCCGACGTGCCTCCTCGCGGCCGTCGCGGCCTGGGCCGAGGGCTCCGGCGCCGACGCCGTCGCCGCGGAGGCCGCGCGGCGGCGGGACGCTTTCCAGGCGCCCCGGGCGCGGGGCGTGCGGGTCTTCGCGCGCATCCGCCCGGCCTACGACGCGAGCCGGCCCGAGGTCGTCGAGCGCGCGGAGGCGTCCGGCGTCGTCTTGCACGACGCGCGGCTCTCGCGGTCGAACCGGACGCTGCGCGTCCGCCACCACTACTTCGAGACGGACGGCGTCTTCGCGGGCGCCGCGCCCGTCGTCGCGGCCGTCGTCGACCCGCTCCTGGACCGCTTCCTCGTCCGGAAGCGGGACGCGGCGCTATTATTATTTGGACAGACGGGCACGGGCAAGACGCACACGCTCCGCGAGGCGCTCGACCGCCTCGTGGACCGCCACGCGGGCCCCGTGGAGGTGCGGTTCCTCGAGCTCTCGGGCAAGAAGGACTGCCGCGACCTGCTCAACGACGGCGCGCCCGTGAAGCTGCTGAGCGACGCCGACGAGAAGATCCACTTCGTGGGGGCGACGGTCCGCGCGGCGACGACCGCGGCCGAGCTCCGGGGCGCGCTCGAGGCGGGTTTACGACTCCGCGCCTCCGAGGAGACGGAGCGCAACGCCGCGAGCTCGCGGAGCCACGCCGTCGTCCAGGTGCTGGCGCCGGACGGCCGCGCGCTCACGCTCGTGGACCTCGCGGGCTCGGAGCGGAAATGGGAGACGATGGGCATGCGGAGCCGCGCGCAGAACCGCGAGTCGGCGGACATCAACCTGTCGCTCATGGCGCTCAAGGACTGCTTCCGGGCGACGCACGACGGCGGGCGCGTGCCCTACCGGTCGTCGAGCCTCACGCGGGTGCTGCGGACGTGCTTCTTCGACGCGGAGGCCGTCCACCTCGTGGCGACGCTGAGCCCGTCGGCCGACGACCTCATCCACTCCGTCTACAGCGTCGCGACGGCCTGCCTCATGGCGCCGGGCCTCGGCGACGCGACGCGGTCCACGGTCGCGACGGAGCGCCCCGCCGCGGAGCTGTCCGCGGGCACCGGCGACCCGGCGCTCGAGCACCCGGCGCGCTGGTCCGCGGACACGACGCGGGCCTGGCTCCTCACGGCGGAGCGCGGCAAGTTCAACCACGTCGTGCTGCCCGCGGGGACCACCGCGGGGGACCTGCTCTCCGTCGACGCCGCGGGCCTCGGCGCGCTCTTCGCGGGGCAGGGCCGCGCCGCGCGCGACGGCCACGAGGGCGCCATGTGGGTCGTCGGCGCCGACACGGACGCCGCCCTCGCCCGCGAGATCACAAACGCCCTCAAGCGCGAGGCCTGCAAGTGGCGCCTCGAGTAAGCGTGGCGTGTTTCGTTGCCGGGCGCCGACGCCCATTGGCAGCCGCCCGCCCGACGAACTTGAAGTTTCTCGTTGCTGGGCAACATGATATTTCAGAATTGGCTGCCCGCCTGCCCCCACCGAGTAGCATGCGCCTCGTCCTGGCGGCCCTCCTCCCCGCGGCGGCCCTCGCCGTCGAGGAGTACGTGGCCATGGTGCCGGCGGCCGCGGACGTGTCCGCGACGTCGAAGCCCACCGTGGAGTGGCTGCATTTAACGTACCCCGCCGACGTCTCCCGGGCCGGCGACGTGACCATGGAGCTCGTGAATGCCTCGGCGAACGACGCGGCCCGCGCCGTCCTCGGCAACTGGTCCCACCTCGACCTGTCGATCGGCGGCGGCGGCGGCGCCATGCTCTCGGCGAAGACCCTGGGCGACCAGATGTTCGTCTTGGTGGAGGTGAAGGACGTCCCCGAGGGCGCGGGCGGCGGCTGCTGCGCGGACACGCTGCGCGTCTACGAGAAGGACGCGTCGGCGAAGGACCTGGACCTCGACGCGCTCCTCGCGGAGACCTTTGGCGCGAGCGTCGCCTGGGTCCACGCGACGCACACCTTCGACGCGTTCCTCGAAGAGAACAAGGCCGTGGTCCTCCTCCAAGTGCAGTACAGCGACGCGGACATCGGCGGCGCCAAGGTCAACGCCATCGTCAAGGTCGACGTGGCCGCGGGGACCGCGGTGGACACCAAGGACGGCGACGCCTACTGGTCCATCGAATCGAAGCTCGGCGCCGAGACGTACGACTACAACTCGACGGTCTACAAGATGCAGTACGTCAACGAGAGCTTCGGCGCCGACTCCGAGGAGTGGCACGGCAACGGCATCCTGAAGTTCGACGACGCGGCGGGGACGACGCTCCTCGCGCTCACGCACCGCTTCTACGAGGAGGCCTTCGTCGTCAAGGACCCCTGGACCTACGGCGCCGCCGACGGCGCCGACGCCATCCTCCAGCGCTTCGGCACGTCGCCCTTCGCGTCGGGCGACGACAACGGCGACGCGCCGACCTATCACCACTTCGGGCTGCCCGCGCACGCGCGCGAGTGGACGGGCGGCGTGCACAACGTCTGGTACACGGCGTCCTCGAAGACGACCTCCGGCGGCCTGCGGGGCAAGGAGTCCATCACCATGTTCATCAACTCCATCGACGGCCGCGCGGGGTCCTTCGTCTTCGAGTTCGAGCTCAAGCTGGCGCCGCAGGAGAACGCGACCGCCGTGTCCGACGCCGTCTTCGGCGGCGTGGCCTTCGCCTACGCCGAGTGCCACTTCAAGGCCCAGGCCATGGGCGGCGCGCGCGTGCTCGGCGACGGCGTCTACCTCGTCGCGTCCGGCGGCGGCTCCGGCGCCGTCTTCCAGGTCATCGACACCGCGAACTCGACGAACAGCAAGATGGTCACCTACCCCGGCGACTCGGGCTCCGACACGAACCTCTACGACCCCTACACGCGCATCGTCGTCGATTGAGGACGCCCGACCGCCGCTTGAAGCGGCGTGCGGCCTAAGGATGGTGGGAACGTTACTCGGCCGACGCGGCCGCGCGGCGGTTCGCCGTCGCGCGCCGCGTGGGCCGGTTCGGCCGCCCCGTGTGCTTGCGGAACTCGTCGGGCCGCCGGAGGTCGTCGAGGACGGCGAGGTCGCCGCCGAGCGAGGCCAAAATCGCCGCGAGGGAGGCGTCGTCGCGCGCGAGGGAGGCGGCCCACTTGGCCCGGAGGCGCGCCGGCGCCGCGTCGTCCGGCGCCCACGCGTCGTCGCCGACGAGGTCGCCGCCCGCGCCGAGCAGGTCGAGCACCTCCGTGAGCGCCAGCGCCGCGGCGACGCCGACGTTCAAGGAGTCGGAGAACCCGTGCTGCGGCACGTAGACGCGCCGGTCGCAGGCCTCGAGGAGCTCCGAGCTCACGCCGGTGCTCTCCGTGCCGAAGCAGAGCGCGACGCGCGCCGGCAGCGTCTCGCTGGAGATCCAGGGCGCGCCCTTCCGCAGCACGGACGCGCCCTGGCCGAGGTCGCTGCACCAGAGCTCGCAGCCGGGCACCTCGTCGAGCGCCGCGCGGAGCGCCGTGGCGTCGTCGAAGTCGCGAACGGTGAGGAACCGCGCGGCCCCGCGGCCGTGCGCCGCGTGGTCCGCGTCCAGGTCCGCGTCCACCTTCCACGCGCGCCGCGCGCGCTCGCGCTTCCGCGCCTTCCGCGACCCCGGCGTCAGCGGGCTATCGGTCTCGAGCCGGTTCGCGTCCGCGAGCTCGCCGCGCTCCGCGCGCTCGAGCTGGCCCGCGCGCGTGAGGGACCGGCGGCTCGCGAAGCGCTCCTCGGGCGGGCCGATGATCCAGACGTGCTGCACGCCGAGCGCCTCGCACGTCCGGAAGATGGCGCTGTAGTTGTGCCCGTCGACGAGGCGCTCGAGCACGACGATGACCTTCGACGTGCGCCGCGACAGCACGGTCTCGATGCGCCGCGCGACGCGCGACGCGTCGTCGGCGCGCTCGAACGCGACCGGCGCGGCCTGGGAGCCGAGGATGGTCTGGCCGCGCAGGCCAGCGCTGTGGCTCCGCAGGCCCTGCAGGCGCGCGCGGTGAGGCCGAAGGCCGAGCGCGGCGCTGCGCGTCGCGAGCAGGCATGCGACGAGGTTGCGGAAGGCCATTGCTCCTCGCATTCAACCAGGGCACCTTGCACGTGCCTTGCCTTCAACGTTACGCCGGCGTCGCGCCCGGGATCCTGGGGAACTGGATCCGCGCGCCCCGGGGCTCGGCCTCGGCGACGCCGCCGTAGGTCGGCACGTCGTCGTCGGCGGGCACGACGCGGAAGACGCCGCCGCGCCGCAATTCGAAGTGCGTGTCGTTGGACGTGACTTCCCAGACGCCGAAGAACCCCTCCTCGGGCGTGTTGCCCGACCAGGCCACGTGGGCGATGTGGCCCGACTGCGTGACGTCGCGGACGGGCTGGGCGCTGTAGGACTTGGAGAAGTAGAGCACGAGGGCGCCGTGGTCCGCGCGCGCCGTGCCGTAGAGCTGGAACTGGCCGAGGTTGTCCGCCCCGAGGCCCGACACGGACCCGTCGCGGACGGTGCATCAGGATCCGCGACTTGTGGTTGAAGCTGCCCGACGAGTGGAAGCTATAGAAATCCCAGCGCTCGAAGAGATCGTCGTCGCCGTGGGGCGCGCGGTCGCCGACGCCGTCCGGCGGCAGCGCCAGCGCGAACGCCGGCAGGCACGCGTTGCAGAGCGCGCGGCTCGCGTTCTTGCAGCCCATGCCCTGGCAGTAGGCCTCCCGCTCCCTGAAGGCCTGGGCCTTGGCGGCGAGGCGCGCCCGGGGCCCCCGGTTCAGGTGCGCGAAGGGCGCGGACGACTGGTGGAGCGTCACGCGCGCCGAGGGAGAAGAAAGCAGCGCCACCAGCGGCTTCCGCGCGTTGCACGCGGCCATGGTCTCCAACACGTCGTCCTGCGACGCCTCGCCGCACGCCAGGTTCGCCAGGCAGCCCGCGGCGAGGTCCTGGATGCTGCCGAGCTCGTTCGAGAGGAACGCGACGAGGATCGTCACGGCGCCGCGCGCCACCAGGTCGGGCCCCGCGTCCGCTTCACTGCTCGCCGTCGCGAGCGCGAAGGCCTCGAGGGCCGCGAGCGCGCGCCGCCGCCCGTCGACGCCGAGCGTGTGCATGCGCGCGACGACGTCGCCGCTCTGGGCGCCGCTCCCGGGCAGCGGGTGCGCGACCTCGCGCTCGTGGCGACTGAAGCGCCGCGGCTCGATGTCCGCGCGGCGCTTCGACCGCGCCTGCTCGCCGAACTCCCTGACGAAGGACCGCGCCTCGAAAGTCCAGGCGCCGTGCTGCATGACCGCGTCGCGGTAGGCGCCGTCGCGCGCCTCGAGCCACCAGCAGCGGTCGAGACGCTGGCGCGCGTGCGCGGCGCGCCACGGCGCCTCGGCCTCGAGCCAGACGTGGGCCGCGGCGCTCGTGATGCTGTAGACGAGGAGGTCGAGGCCGCCGCAGTACTCGGCGACGCACTCGCCGCAGTCCTCGGGCAGCGCGTGGGGGCCGACCTCCGCGAGCGGCTCCGCCTCCTCCTCCGACTCCTCCCGCGCGGCCTCCGCCTTCGGCGCCGTGCGCTCCTCGACCATGTCGTCGAATCTCTTGATGGAGGTCCGCAGGTTCGCGATGGACTGGCGCGCGACGTCGTGCGTCGCCGTCAGCTTCGCGAGATTGTCCTGGCTGGCGAGGAGCCAGGCGGGGAGGAGCGACCGCCGCGCCGGCGTCAGCGCCGGGGCCGCGTCCGACGCCGGCAGGACCTGCGCGACGACGTCGGCCATGGATTGGGGTGTTGTGTTGCTGGGTTCGGCGTCCGCTGGCTGGGGGGCAGCCCCGCCAGCGTCGGCCATGTTGACCGGGATGGACTGCGGAAGAATCATGGTTGGCCGAAACATCTCCGCAACGTCTCGTTGACGGGGCTGCCCAGCCACAAAGACTGCGAGCATGGGCGCCCTCCGCCGCGCCCGCGCGCTCCTGGGCGCGACGCGGAGCACGGACGAGGAGCAGCTCCGCAAGCTGTACCGGAAGCACGCGCTGAAGACGCACCCGGACAAGCCCGGCGGCGACATCGAGGCCTTCCAGCGGGTCGCCAGCGCCTACGAGCTCTGCCGCGCCCACCTGGGGCAGAGCCTGACGGCGGCGGAGTGGGCCGCCGACGACCGGCCGACGGAGTACTACGACCCCAACGACCGCGGCCGGAAGAGCCAGCGGCCCGCGGCGCGGCGGCCCGACGACGCGATCGACCCCTTCGAGGTCTTCAGCGACGCGTTTCGCGGGTGGGCCGAGTCCGCGGAGTTCCAGCAGTGGGCCGTCGACGCCTTCGGCGACGACTTCGACCAGCTCGACATCACGTTCCAGTGGGGCGTCGACGACCAGTACGTGGAGGTCGCGCGGGAGCGGTCGCTGGTAGAAAACGCGGAGCGAAAATTCCAGGACCCGCGCAACTTCTACGAGGACGCGTTCAACCAGCGCGAGGAGGCCGACGACCGGCTGCGGGGGCTCATGGACGTCGTGCTGCGCATGGGCGCCGACCGGAGCCCGCCGGTCCACGTCTTCCGGGACCTCGCGTCGCTCGTCCGCGGCGACGTCGTCACGGTCCTGGTCGACGCGCGGCGCGACGACGACCGCGCGGGCGACCTCGCGCCGCCGCCGCGCTGCGCCGTGGTCCGGCTCTGCGTCGACGACTGCGTCGACGGCGACGGCCGGCCGGCCCTCGCCTACGGCGTCGCCGACGTCGGCGCGGCGCCGGACTGGGCCGCGCTCCGGGCGACGCTGTCCCCGCGCGCCGCGGAGGGGCTCCGCGCCGTCGCCGCGGCGGCGAAGACCGCGGGGCGCGTCGTCGTCTTCTCCCAGTCCGGAGGTCCCGGGAACGCCGACGACGTTGTGGTGGCGAAGACGCTCCGCGAGAGCCGCGTCCTGCACCAGGACCCGACGGTGCTGGAGGGCGGCGCGAATCTCTGGGACCACCTCCGGAACCCGCGGTCGAGCCTCATCTACGTCGTCCGGAAGGGCGGCGCCATCGTCCGCCGCGGCGCGTCGCTCCAGTCCGACTTCGTCGCGGAGCTCGAGGAAGGGGCCGTCGTCGCGGCGACGGCGCGCGACGCCGCGAACCCGGCGCGGAGCAAGGGCAAGGACCGCCTCCGCGTCGCGTCGCCCGCGGCGGGCTTCGTGACGGCGTCGCGCCTCGTCCTGTCGCCGGACCACGCCTACGAGGGGCCGCCGGTCCCCCCGCCGGCCGCGGAGGCGCGGCGGAAGAAGCCCAGGGACGACAAGGGCGGGCAGCGCGGCGGCCACGCGGTCCTGGACCCCGTGCTCGACGAGGACCAGAACCCGAACAGCTTCGCCGCCTTCATGGCGGGCCGCGGCGCCGCGGAGGTCGCCGCGCCGGATTAATGTTCTTTTAGTGCGCGCGTCGACGTCGTCGGTATCCGCGTCGGGGCAGCCGCCAGCGCTTTTTGGTTGCCTTCAATAAGGCTTCAAGCCTCAATTTTGAAGTTCTGCCTATCGCAGTAGCCCAAGCGATGTCAAGCTCTAGATCTTGGCGCCGCTGCTGCGCCGCGCTCGTCGCCGCGCTGGCGTCGCCGGCCGACTTGCGCGTCGCCATCGGCCAGGATCTCTGGAGCATCCGCAACTACACCGGCCGGTTCGGCGCGCCGGACGCCGTCATGTCCTACGCGTCCATCGGCAACCTGAGCGGCCTCTGGAGCCCGACGGACTACGGCAGCGGCGTCGAGTACGCCGACGGCGCGCTCGCGGGCTTACCCGCGCGCACGGCGCTGCAGCTCGGGCTCGAGCTCAAGGGCCACGAGGCCGCGCTGTCGCGCGGCGACCTCGGCGCGAACGTCGACGCGCTCGTCGCCTACGTCGCCTCTCTCGCGCCGCGCCACGTCCTCGTGCGCATCGGCTACGAGTTCGACATGCCGGGGAATCTCTACGTGCCCGAGGCCTACAAAGCAGCGTACCGCGTCGTCGCGGAGGCGCTCGCGGACGCGCCGAACGCGTTCCGCGTGTGGCACAGCTGGTCCTTCGCGCCCTGGGAGGCCGACGGCGGGCGCGGCGTCGGGGCGTGGTACCCCGGCGACGGCCTCGTGGACTACTGCGGCGTGTCCGTGTTCCAGCAGGCCTACGGCGACTCCGAACTCGGCGATTTGACCTACGCGCACGCGATGGCGGACTTTTGCGACGAAAAGCGCATCCCCCTGATCATCGCCGAGTCGACGCCCTTCGGCGCGGGGGTCGTCGAGCCCTACGGCACGCTCTGGGCGCGCTGGTTCGAGCCGACGCTGCGCTTCGCGAAGGCGCGCGGCGTCGTCCTGTGGTCGTACATCGACTGCGACTGGGATTCGCAGCCCATGTGGCGGGGCATGGGCTGGGGCGACAGCCGCCTCGAGGTCCGCGACGCCCTCGCGGCGAAATGGGAGTACGACGTCCTCGACCCCTACCCGAACGCGACGCGCGCGTTCTTCTCGCGCGTGTCGGCCGCGCGGCCGCCGGGCCTCGGCCGCCGCGAGGCCGTCTACCTCGCCTGCTACCTGCCCGTGCTCGGCCTCTTCATCGCCTTCCTCATGCCCGCGCCCGAGGAGCGCACGCGGCCCCGCGCCGCGTCGTCCATCGACGAGGGCCACCGCCGGCCCTTCGTCCTCGCGAGCCCCGAGGCCGCGACGGTGAAGCTGAGCGACTCCTAACTGGGCGAAGCTGAGCGACTCCTACCTAGATGGCGCCCGACGACGCGGACGCCCGCGGCCGGCACGGGAAGGCGTATTTTGAGCCCGCGAATTCCCGAGCGTTCGCCCGGCGCTGGTCCGCGGGCGGCAGGCGGCCCGTCGGCCGGCCCTGCGCCAGTTTGTTGCCCGCGTCGTCGACGACGACGAAGCGGCCGAGGTCCTCGGGGCACCAGACGACCTTGAAGGCCGGCCGCGCGTTGAACTGAACATGGCAGACGTCGCCCGGCGGGCTCTTCGCCGAGCCCATGGTGCACGTGCACCAGCTGCCGCCGTCGCCGAGCGCCTCGACGCTCGCCGCGCGGATGCCGTCGCCGAGGAAGTTCGACGCCGCGATGCCCGCGACCTTGCCCCGGTTCTCGCTGTCCGCCGTCTCCAGGGCCATCGTGCAGCAGTCCACGTGGTTCCAGTCGGCGAAGCAGTGGCCCGTGTTGCCCTTGCCGGGCCGCGCGCGCCGCTCGTCGCGCAGACCGCACGCGCCGAGGAGCGCCGGCCGCACGACCCGGTCGAAGTCGCCGTCGAGGTCGCTCGCGTTGAGCCGCGACGCGAGGAGCTGGGCGCCGAAGCGCCGCGACGCCGCGTCCATGGGGTAGGCCGCATCCTTCGACGCGCGCGCCGCGACGTCGTGCAGCGCGCCGTCGGCGCCGACCTCGACCTCGACGGCTGCGGCGCTGCGCACGGCGAGCGCGACGGCGACGACGCGCGGCAGCAGCATGGTTGGAGAGAGTCGATGTCGCGCTGCCACCTCGACCATCTCACCGCACTGGATCACAGCCGCCTCGCGTTGTGGTTCGATTACATCTATGCTGAAGCAATGACAGCGCTCGCATCATTAGGCCCCGCGCCCCTAGCGCGCGTCGAGCGCCGCCCGGAGGCGCGCGTTCTCCGCGCGGAGCGCCGCGACGGCGCCGGCCTCGGGCGCGTCGGCGACCGCGAGCGCGCCGTCGTCGAGCTTCGCGCGGAACGCGTCGAGGTGCAGGCGCTTCGGCGCCGCGGCGCCGCTCCACTGGACGCGGACGCAGGGCCGGGCGCCGTCGTCGTCGGCGTCGACGGCGGCGACGCGGCCCAGCGACGGCCGCCCCTGTTCGACGCGCGCGACCGCGCGGCCGACGAGGTCCGCGGCGTCGAGGAGCCAGGCCTCGGGCACGGCCTCGCCGTCGGCGGTCACCGGCGCGCCGCCGCCGAGCACCGCGAGGCCCACGTCGGCCGCGTCGACGGCGCGCGTCTTCCCGTCCTCGAAGGCGACGGCCCCTTCGCCGTCGGCGACGCCCCGGCGCCAGCAGCCGCCGCTCCGCAACACGACGACGGCGCCGGCCTCGCAGGCGCCGCGGGCCTTCTTCGCCGGCGGCGGCGCCGCGTCCGCCGCGCGGCACTCGAAGACGTCGTGCTTCAACGTCGGGTCGCTGACGAGCCGCTGGACGAGCCACGCCGGCAAATTCTTGTAGTGCTTCGCGGCCTTGGACAGCGACGCGAAGTGCGTCCACGCGTCGCTGCCGCGGCGGCGGACCTCGACGGGCCGCGGCGGCCGGGGGAACGTCTCGTCCCTGTCCTTCTTCTTCGCCGGCTTCTCGTCGCGCGGCCGCTTCTTCGCCTGCTTCGCGGGCCGCGGCGGCTCCGCCTCCACGAGCCCGTCCAAGCCCTCGACGCCCTCGGCGCCCCGCGGGTCGTCGGCGTCGAGCACGTAGTACGCGTCGATGTCAAGCTCCTCGTCGCCGTCCTCGTAGCGGACGTCGTAGGCGCGGCCGCCGTCATGGACCTTGGAGATCGTGCCCTTGTAGAAGATGCCCGCGCGGTCGTACTGGGCCAGCACCGGATCGCCGACGGCGCGGTTCGGCCGGAAGTCGTCGTCCTGCTCGCGGTCGCGCGCGTTCCGGATCTTGACGCCCGCCTTCGCGTCGACGCGGCGCGCGCGGAAGGGGTCGTCGTCCCAGGCCTTGGAGTGGAGCAGCCGCAGGAGCATCTGCTGCGTGAGCAACGGGCCGAGCTGGCGCAGCGCGATGGCCTGGCTCTCGAAGAAGATCCAGTCCCGCGAGTCCGCGCGCCGGATCTCGAGCGGCGACGCGCGGACGACGTCGCGGATGAAGCGCGCGGGCAGGCGCGCGTCGCGGAAGCCGTCGTCGTAGACGAGGTCGTAGAGCGGGCCGTCGGCCTCGCGGTAGACGCGCGCGACCAGCGCGCCGTAGGCGACGGAGCCGCGGTTGTAGCGCGCGCGGACGCGCTCGCCCATCCGATAGACGACGCCGTCGTACGTCGCGGGCTCGTCGTCGGGCCGGGGGGCGGCGGGCGTGGGCGCGGCGGCCCGCGGCTTGGGCGCCTTGGGCGCCGGCGGCGGCGGCCGCGGCTCGGCGCGCGGCGGCGTCCTCCGCTTCTTCGGCGCGAGGTCGAGGAACTCGAGGACGTCGTCCGCGCAGCAGGACCCGAAGGTGCGCCCGCAGGGCGCCGTCGTCGTGTAGGCCACGGCGGCGCGGCCGACGCCCGGCCGCGCGGCGACGGCCCAGGACGTCCGGATCGCGGCGCCGTCGCCGCCGGCCTCGGCGACGCGACACGCGAGCCGCTCCCGGCTGAGGTCCGCGAGGCCCGCGTAGTCGGGGCCCGCGGGGCTCGGCGACCGCGGCGGCGGCGGCGCCTCGTGGAACGTCGTCTCCTGGCAGGCGATGAGGCCCTCGAGCTCGAGGTCGTCGTCGCTGTCGCTGTCGGCGGCGACGACCTCGGGCGTCACGACCTCGCTGCTCGGCGCCGGGTCCGCCGCCGGTTTGGGGTCGAGCGCAGGCGGCTCCGCCGGGAGCGATTCCGGCGGAGCGGCCGGCGCCGCCGGCGGCGCCGTATTCGGGACAACCTGTTGCTCCAACATCTCCATAGGTTGCGGGTCGATCGAGGCCGGAGAGCGCTCAACATCTCCCTGCGGAATTCCATATATATATGCGTGAGTTGTGCGTGCCGGTTCCCCCGCCGTACGGAAATTAAATGGCTGTCGTCGCGCGAGCGGTGCAGAGGGAAGCATTGACACGGGAATGAGTGGCTCAGCTCGCGCGAGCGCGCCCGAAGGGCGCGCTCTCGCCGCGCCGCAGGCAAGCCCCCCCGGCAGGGGCAAGATGCCGTAGGCGTCTTGTCATCACCTCATGAGACAACGGCCCGCTGCGCCGCTTACCCGTAGCCGCACGCGATGGGCGCGCGCCAGGCCGCGTTCTTCGTGTCGCAGACCTTGAGGTGGTGCCCGCCCCGCGGCCAGTCCGCCGCCGCCGGCGACCCCGCGGCCGCGACCGCCGCGTCCGCGGCCGCGGCGACGGCGGCGACGTCGACGGGCCCGTGCATCGTCGGCTGCTCGACGCGCGCGTAGCGGACGCCGCGGAGCGCCGCGAGGCACTGGAAGATGGACTTGTACATCATGGGCTTGGGGCAGATCTCGACGACGCCCGCGAAACCGCCGCCGCGGAGCAGCGCCATGTTGGCCTGCCCCGCGCCGTGCTGTGCCTGTGTGGAAACCAAATGTTCAACCCGACTTCAATCTGAGAGTTTTGAAGTTTCGTCAGGACCCCCTGAACCAGTGGTTGGTTTCGGCACGGTGCTGCGCTATGAGCACCGTCGCCGCGGCCGTCTCGCACGCCTGCCGGCAGAGGTCCGCGTCGCCGAAGTCGACGACGCGCACCTCGTGGCTCGCGGCCCAGGGCCGTTCGCGGAGCGCGGCCACGACGTCGTCGAAGTTCGCGAGGGACCGGTTCTGGTGCGCCTGGTCGCTCGCGTGCCGGTGCTCGCGCCGGATGACGAGCACGCGCGGCGCGCCCGACGCCGCCGCGCAGCGGCAGGCGCGGAGCAGGGCGTCGCGCGCCGCGGCGACGCGCGCCGCGAGCTCCCGCCGCGCGCCGTCGTCGAAGCGGCCGCAGCCGTAGAGGTGGTAGTCGAGCCCCCACTCGGGCCGCCGCGTATAGCGCGCCGCGGCCGCGTCGTCGAGGCGGCTCCAGTCCCAGAACTCGTTGGCGAGCGTCACGTGGGCGGCCGCCGCGCCGCTGCCGTTCCGGTCCGGCGCCTCGACCTGCGACGGGCGCGCTCGGGGACCCGTACCAAGTACGCGGACGCGGCGGGGCCGCACGACGCCCATCTGCACGCAGGCGTCGCGGCCCGCGAGGCGCAGCAGCTGGGGCAGGAAGCGGTGCGTCGCGCCGCGGTGGAACGGCGGCTCGTTGAGTACCTGCGGTCGGACGCCGTCGGAAAGAAACCGTCGGACGCCGTGTTGGAGACGCACCACCACGTCGCCCGGCCGCGGCCGCAGCTCCTCGAGCCAGTGGAGCACGGGCACGAGCAGGCCGTAGAAGAAGTGGTAGTAGTTCGTCGCCGCGTTTCCGTGGCCCGGCGCGAACGTCGCGACGTGGACCGTGACGTTCCGTCGGTCGAAGAGCCAGTCCGCGGGCGCGCACGGTCGCGCGCCGGCGCAGAGCAGGTGGTGCGTCGCGCAGAGGTCCGGCTCGACGGCCGAGTGCCGGAGCGCGTCCAGCATGGGCCCCAGCGCGCGCCGCTGGAACGCCGGCTGGTTCGCCGTGGGCACGACGTGCGCGTGCGCCGACAGCAGCCGCCGCCCGAGCCAGGCGACGGTGTCGCCGTCGGCGACGAGGTCCGCCGCGTGGTCCCGGCCGTCGACGGAGTGGCTCGCGACGACGTTGAGCCACTCGACGTTCGCGCGCGCGTCCCAGAGGAACGCGCCGGCGGTCTCGGCGTAGACCTCCTCGAGCGCCGCCTGCTCCATGTAGCGCGACCGGCTCGTCGCGGACCGCCAGAGGTCGAGGACGCCCGTGGTCCGCGCGAAGACGTGGCCGCCGTTGTAGGCGCCGTAGGTCGCCTCGACGCGGTCGCGGCAGAGGCACGGCGAGACGCCGACGGCGCCGGCGCCCGCGGGCGGCAGCGGCGCGAGCCAGGCGACGTCCGCGTCGGCGAAGAGGACGCCCGGCGCGCCGTCGTCCAACGCGCGCGCCATGACCGTCGTCTTCTCGAGCTGCAGGTGCGTCCATACGTTCATCGGACCCCAGCGCTTCTTCTTCATCCAGACCCGCGAGTAGTTCTCGTACTTGACGAGGCACGGCACGGCCGTCGCGTTGGCGACCCGGGACACGTAGGCGGCGACGGCCGTGTCCGACGCGACGTAGACGCGGCGCGAGGCGTCGAAGCGGCGCAAGGTCCGCAGGAAGAGCGCCACCTCGAGGAGCGCCGGCCGCGTCGCCATCGTCGCGACGGCGTAGCTGCAGTTGCGCCAGGTGTTGTCCTGCGTGCAGAGCGGCTGGCCCGCGCACCAGAGCGGCAGCGCTGCCAGCACGAACCGGCAGCCCATAATATGATGCATCGCGGCGCGCTTCAAGTCGCCATTCAGCTTCGTTTATTGAACCTGCCTGCGATCGCGACAACCGATGTGCAGCCCAGTTCGCAATCCATCGTGCGACCCGGCTCGCAGCCCATCGAGTGCGAGCCGCTCGGCGCGCGCCAATTGGTGAGCTTTCGTGCGGCGCCGCGCCGCAGCACAGCAGCAGCCATGGTGAAGCTCTCGGAGCGCCGGCTGCCGGCGACGTCGCACATCGACGAGATCGTGCGCAGCGCGTCGCTGCGGGTCAAGGTGGGCTCCATGGACGACGCCGCGCGCCAGGCGTCGCGCCTCGGCGAGGCCCCGAAGGTCGCACCGGAGGGCATGGTCGACCACGGCCACGACTTCGTGTCCGAGATCGAGGCCGCGCTTCGCAGCGCTGGCGGCCAGCTGCTGCAGGACCGCGACGCGGACTCGTTCCGGTCGCTGCCGGACCGGCTGGCGTATTTCTGCGAGAACTTGATCGCCATGAACAGCTTCGCGGCGTTTTACATTTTGGCGACGGCCTTCGTCGTGCTCGTCTTCGCGCACGCGGGCGGCTGGTACCTCCTCTTGCGCTACGAGCGCGACGCGCCGCTGCGCGACGGCGGCTACGCCGGCGGCGAGCGGCGGTTGTCGAACCGCGGCGCGCTGAACCGCGGCGACATGGCGGCGGTGCGGGACACGCTGGGCTACAAGTCCTTCTCCGACAGCGTCTGGATGGCGCTCCAGGTCCTCGCGAGCGCGGGCTCCGACCCGAGCCTGCCGACGCTGGCGCTGCTGCGGTGCGTGTACCTGTCGATGATCATCTGCGGGTTGGTGGTCTTCGCGGTGCTGGTGGGCTTCATCACGGAGTCGGTCGAGTCGTTCATGCGGTCGCTCGCGGCCGGCCGCACGAAGGTCGTCGAGCACGGCCACGCGCTCATCCTGGGGACGTCGGAGGCGACGCCGCGCGTCGTCACGCAGCTCGCGCTGATGCGGAAGCGCTACCAGAAGGTCAACGAGACCTGGGGGCGGCGCCTCTTCCCCTGGCGGCGCGCGCCGCCGTCGACGCCGCTGCTCTCGAAGCCCGTCGTCATCATGACGCGGACCATGGACAAGGAGGCGCTGGAGTCCGTCATCGGCGAGGCCTTCACGAGCCGGTCCATCTCGCGGACGCGGACGCGCATCGGGCGGGACATCGTCTGCCGCGTCGGCGACCCGGCGTCCGCCAAGGACCTCGCGCGCGTCTCCGCGGACGCGGCGGCGCGCGCGCTCATCATGATGAGCGAGCAGGACGAGATCGAGGAGGCGGAGACCGGGGGGAAGATCTCCAACGGCGCGTCGCTGCGCACGCTCCTCGCGCTGCGCCACGTGCTCTTCACGAGCGCGAACCACTCGCCGACGCGAAGCGTCGTCGCGCAGATCCCGAAACCGTCGATCCAGATCGAGGCGGCGTCCTTCCGCGACGCGCGGGGCTACCCCCTCGTGAAGCCCCTGGACATGGGCGTGTTCCTCAACTCGCTCCTCTTCTCCTGCGCGTCCCAGCAGGGGCTGAGCCTCGTGCTCATGGAGCTCCTCGACTGCGAGGGCGCCGCGTTCCAGCGGCGGCGCGCGACGCTGTTCTGCGGCGGGGTCGTCGGGCTGACGGTCGCCGCCGCCGACGACCTGCTCGACCGCGGGTCCATCATCGCCGTGTCGTCGTCGCTGCCGGGCGCGAAGCCGGAGCTCTGCCCGCCGCCGGACACGGTCATCAAAGCGGAGGACGTCGTGATTTTCGTGGCGGAAACGTCCACGCCGAAAGCGACGCCGCGCGACGCCGCTTTCGTGTCGACACGCGCCGAGGCCGCGCGGCGGCTCAAGGCGACCCAGGACGAGACGCGGAGCCGGCTGCGACGGACGTCGTCGGCCGTGTTGCGGGGCGCGCGCTACATCCTCGTCTGCGGCTGGCGGCCCGTCTGGACCGACGAGGCGCACCGGCTGCGCGACCGCGTGTACCAGCTCCTCGACGGCGCGACGCCGGGGTCGCAGATCATCTTCGCCAACGGGCTTCCGGAGCTCACGTTCCGCGAGCTGATGACGGGCGCGTGCGGCTTCCGCGACGTCTCCGGCGCCGACGACGCCGTCTTCGAGACGGCCCTGGGCGTCCGGATCCGCCACGTGCACGGCGACGCCGCGGACGTCGCGCTGCTGCGGCGCATCGTCATGAACATACCCATCGAGACGGCCATCGTCCTCGGCACGAACGCGCGCGCGTTGGGCGACCCGCTGGCGCCGAAGATGCGCGACACGCGGGTCCTGAACATCCTGCTGACGCTGCGCCATCTCCGGGCGGCGTCGCCCTTCGCCGCGGAGCACATGCACGTCATCGGCGAGAACGCGATCGACGAGACGCGCATGCTGGCCCTGACGCCCGAGAGCGGCCGCGAGCCCGACTTCATCAACACGCAGGCCATCTTCGCGCGCGCGCTCGCGCTGTCCCTCGCCTACCCGATCATGGGCGCCGTCGTCCGCGACGTCTTCGACATATCGTCGCCGACGTCGATCAAGCTCGTCGCCGCGAACCGCTTCGCGCCCCTCGACACCGCGACGACCTGGGGCGCCGTGAAGCAGGTCGTCCGAGACGCCGCGCCGGAGCCGGGCCACCTCGTGCCCCTTGGCTTGGTGTCCGCGCGGTCGCTCGGGCCCGAGCTCGGCCTCTCCGAGGCCGACGGCGTCACGCTGCGCGCCGGGGACCTCATCGCCGTGGCCTACAAGGCGCCGTCGGCCTCGCCGCCGTCGCCGCGGTCCGACTCCTCGGACGACGACGGCGACGTCGTGTCCCTGGTCTGCGACTCCTACAAGGGCGCCGCGGACCGCGAGATGACGCGCCTCGAGCGAGACCACGAGTTCGGGTGACGGTCTGGCGGTTGAGTAGAGCTAGGGCGATGGGTATTTAGTCGCTAGGCTCCAAAGATGTGCGCGTTGCGCGCAAGGTTTCGCTTCGCCTCCTCGTCGCCCTTGGCGGCTGCGCGTGCGAACCAGCGCTTGGCTTCTTGAAAGTCGACTTCCACGCCGGGCGCGCCTTCCGCGTACAAATGTCCGAGGGTACGTTCTGCTTCGGTTAATCCCTGTTCGCCTGCAAGTGTCATGTAGCGCAGAGCTTCCTGGTCATCTCCAGCCTCGTCGAAGGCGCCTGCAATCATTTTCTGTGCCTCCGCGACACCCCGATCGGCGGCCATGCGCATCAACTGTATGGCCTTGTTCTTGTTGCGCTTGACACCTTCTCCGTGCATATACATGATCGCAAGTGAACACATCGCATCCGCATAACCCAATTCCACCGCGCGTTTGTAGAGCTTCGCGGCCTTCTTGTCGTTTTTCGGAATACCGGGCAGTTTTGAGAGCTTGTTCACAGACCGGTACGCAGACCCCAGATGGTATATCGCTTCCGGAACGTCGTTCTCCACATGGCGACGAAGCGCCGCCAGACATCCATCCGCTCCCTTCACCGGCTCTAGGCAGATAGGACACGGATCGAAGCCGACCTTTTCACTGCACGACTTGCAGGTCATTCTGCAGCAGCAGACGCGAAATCCTTTCGTCTCATTCACGTCCCAGTCCTCCAAGCAGACCGGGCATCGCGACCCGTCCCGCGCCGATACCGGCTCCGGCTCCGGGTTCGCCTCGCGCCGCGCGCGGGCGGCCTCGTGCTCCGCCGCGATGCGCGCGCGGACCTCGTCGGCGTGCGACCGCGGCGCGGGGCCGTAGAACACCTCGCGCGGCGGCGACGGCGGGGGCGTCGGCGTCTCGGCCCGCGCGGCCTCCGCCGCGCGCTCGTCGCGGATCTTTTTGCACGCCTCGCGGTGACCCCGCTCGCGCCAGTCCACCTTTTGACAGGCGACACTGCAGTACTGCGTGGTCTCACACGGGCAGTTGAGCTTGGCCTTCTCGCCGCAGATGACGCAAGTCAGTCTCAGTCTCAGGGCCTTCGCCCGGGCCTTGACCTGCTCGAACTCGCGAGCCTTCTTCTGCCAGTCCTTCTCCTCGCCCTTTTCTTCTTCGGCCATCGCGGTTTCACGTGTGCCCTGTCGCTCACTGAGCCCCGGCGCGTCGCGTCAAAAGGCGTCGTCGATGAGGGCGGCGAGTCCAGGTTGCCGCTTGCGACAGGAGCCACTGGCAGGGCCTGCTACTAGTAGCGCTCCGTGGGGGCCTCGGCTCACGAGCCATTCGACGCCGTCGACGACGAGCGTCACGAGCCACGCACGCATGGCTTCGAGACTCCGGGGCCCCGAGGACGCAGAATAGCCGATAGAGTAGTTAAAATCGCCGCCGCCCCGTCACGGCGCGTCGACGGCGTCGCCGAGGTGCGCGAGGAGCGCGGTCTGGAACGCGTTGTAGGCGAGGATGTCGCCCTTGCCGCGGAGGATCTCCAGCGCCGTCTTGTCGCCGTCGCGCCGCACCTTGCCCAGCAGCGAGATGAGGCCCTTGGGCGACTTGAGGCTCGCCTCGACGACCAACGCGTCGCCGTGGTCCTCGGGCGGGTCGTCGTCGTCGCCCTTGGACCCGCCGCCGTCGACGAGCTGGGCGCCCGCGGCGTCGAGCGCCGTTTTCAGGGCCTCGAAGAGCGCCGGCGGGTCGCGCGACGACGCGAAGCAGGACACGCGCGTCGACTGCTTCTCCTTCAGCGGCGACGCCGCGTCCGGCGCGGGCTCGACCGCGGGCGGCGGGCCGGCGTCCGCGGCGCAGAACCAGGCGTTCTTCTGCACGTCGTTTAGCGTCGCGCGGGCCTTGGGGTCCGCGACCAGGATCGTGTCCACGAGCTCCGTGACGGGCTTCGTGAAGAAGTCCGGGTACGCGTAGTCCGCGTCCTTTATCTTCTGGAAGAGGGCGTGCATCGTGCCCTCGTCAAACGGTAAAAACCCGGCCAGCAACACGTAGAGGATCACGCCGATGGACCAGCAGTCGGCGATGCGGCCGTCGTAGCCCTCGTTCATCAAAACCTCGGGCGCGACCTGGGCAGGAAAAGGGTGCGAAATTCCCAACGTCAAAGGCTCCTATCTCGGTCGTTTTCCGCTCGTTTCGGCTGACTTTTGGACGAGCGATCATCTCTCGGAGCGCTCTCGAAGCGTGGGTGCTGTTTCCGAAACGCGCACGCGCGGAACACTCACGTTGAAGCGACGTTGCATCACCCTTTTCCTGCCCCGGGCGCGACGTAGTTCGGCGTGCCGCACGTCGTGTGGAGCATCTGCGACCGGCTCGCGCCGTCCTCGCCGTCGTAGAGCGCGCTCAGCCCAAAGTCGCTGATCTTGAGGCAGCCCTGCTCGTCGAGGAGCAAGTTTTCGGGCTTGAGGTCGCGGTGCGCGACGCCCTGGCTGTGGCAGTACGCGACGCCGCCCACGAGCTGCTTGAAGTAGAACCTGGCGTCGTGCTCGTTGAGCTTGCCCGACGTGACGATGCGGTCGAAGAGCTCGCCGCCCGTCACGAGCTCCAACACGATAAAAATCTTCGTCCGGCTCGCGAGGACCTCGTTCAATTTGACGACGTTCGCGTGTTCGAGCTGCTTCATGATGGAGATCTCCTTCTTGATCTGCGACCCCATGGACTGCTTCTGGATGCGCTCCTTGTCCAGCACCTTGATGGCCACGGCCTCCTGCGTCTCCACGTTGACGGCGTGCTTCACCTTGCCGAAGGTGCCCTCGCCCAACGTGCGGCCGATCTCGTACTTGCCGACCTGCTTCTTCGCCGACGCCATGGGCGGCGCGGCGATCGCGGCCGCGGCGGCGGCGGGATCACGACGCGGCGGGCGGCGACGCGGCGGCGGCGCCGTGCGGCGCGGCGGCGCACAGCGGTGGCGCTGGAGCGGGCAGGCTAGCGGCTCCTGGGCGTGCTCAGCGCGATGAGGCGCCTGCTCGCAGCGCGCCGCGATGCCGTCGCGCACGTCGCAGCGCGCCGCGTACGACGCCAGCGCGTGTCGCCGCGCCGTGCGCTGAGCACGACGCTCGCCGACAAACGCGCACAGCTCCACAAGGAGTTGGCGGCCCTGCCCGAGGTCCTGCAGCGCGCGGCGCTCGAGGCGCAGCTGCGGGACCCGGCGCTCCTGCCGCGACGACGCGGCACGCTCGTGTCGCTCAGCGACCGCGAGACCGCCCTCGCCGTCGACGCGGGCCTCGCGACGTTCCTGCTGCACGTCGAGGCCCGCGTCGCCGCGTACTGCGGCGAGGGCTTCTACACGATCGGCCCCGGCGGCGAGGAGGCGCTCGGCGCCGCGGGCCTCGCGCTCGCGCCCACCGACGGCAGCGCGCTGCACTACCGCCATCTCGCGACGCAGCTCGCGCGGCAGCTGGCGGTAGGGGAGGAGTCGCTCGAGTCCGTGATCTTGGCGCGCGCGCGGGGCTACTGCGTCTCGGCGGCGGACCCGGTGACCGGCGGCGCGCACTGCGCGCTCGGCGGCGGGCCCCACGACTACATCGTCACGTCGACGCTCGCGAGCCAGGCGCCCGCGGCCGTCGGACGGGCCCTGGCGCCGTCGTTCCTCCGCGGCGCCGCGCGGCGCGCCGCGGGCGACGCGATCCAGTACGTGTCGCTGGGCGACGGCTCCGTGAACAACGCGCACTTCCTGGCCGCGGCGAACCTGGCGGAGTACGCCGCCCACCGCGGCACGGCCTGCGGCGTCGTCTTCGCCATCTCCGACAACGACCGCTGCATCTCGCTCCGGGGCCACGGCTGGCTCCGGGAGTTCGTGACGCGGCGCCTCGGCGGCGCCGCGGCCTTCTTCGCCGACGGTACGGACGCCCACGAGGTCTACGCCGCGACGTCCGCGGCCGCGGCGCACGCGCGGTCGCGGTCCGCGCCCGCGGTTTTGGTCTTCGAAAATCTGCCGCGGCGCTTCGGCCACGCGGCGACGGACCGCCAGGCCGCCTACCTGAGCGCCGAGGAGATCGCGGCGGCGGCGGCGCGGGACCCGCTCGCGGAGCTCTGCGCCGACGCGCTGGACCGCGGCGTCCTGTCGCGCGAGGCGCTCCTCGGCCGCTTCCGGACCGCGCGCGACGCGGCGACGGCGGCCTTCGACGCGGCGGCCGCGGAGCCCAAGCTCGACAGCCGCGCGGCCATGGTCGCGCGCGTCGCCGCGCCGCTGGCGCCCCTCCCGGAGGCCGCGCTCGCCCGGTCGTCGTCGGGCCGGGCGGACGTGCTCCGGAAGCACGCGAATCGCGCGCTCGACGAGCTCCTCGCGGCCCACGACGACGTGGCCTACGTCGGCGAGGACGTCGAGCACGGCGGCTACTACCTCGTCACCGAGGGCCTCGCGGCGAAGCACGGGTCGCGGCGCGTGCGCGACTTCCCGCCCGACGAGACGACGCTGCTCGGCGCCGCCGTCGGTCTGGCGCAGCGCGGGCTCGTGCCCGTCGTCGAGATCCCCTACGCCAAGTACCTCGACTGCGGCGCGGACGTCTTCTACGAGCTCGCCATCGCCCACTGGCTCTCGAACGGCCAGCGGCCCAACGGCATGGTCATCCGCCTGCAGGGCTTCGACCGGGGCCTCTTCGGCGGCAATTTCCACACGCACAACGAGCTGCGCCTGCCGCCGGGCGTCGACGCGATCTGCCACAGCAACGGCGCCGACTACGCGCGGGGCCTGCGGTACGCGCTGCGCCAGGCGCGCGCGGGGCGCGTGGTCATGTCCATCGACAGCACGTACCTCCTCAACTTGCGCCACGTCGACGAGGCCGCGCGCGACAACGCGTGGCTCGCGGCCTACCCCGGGGCGGGCGAGGAGTACCCCTTCGACGCCGTGACGACCCACGCGGACCCGCGGGCCGGCGGGCCGAGGGTGGCCGTCGTGACCTACGGCACGGGCGTCGTCGCCGCGCTCCGCGCGCGAACGTCGACGCCGCTCGACGTCCTCGAGCAGCCCTACCTCAACGGGCCGACGGACGCGCTCGCGGCGGCGCTCGAGCCCTACGACGCCGTCGTCTTCGCGGACCCCGTCAAGTCCGGCCAGAACCCGCTCGCGAACTTCGCGGCGCTGCTGCAGACGCGGCGCGCGCTCCCGCGGCGCTGGCGCGTCGTCGCGCCGCCGCCGGCCTACAACCCGCTCGGCCGCGACTTCACGTTCCTCGGCCCGGACGACGTCGCGGAGGGGGTTGCTGCGGTGCTCGCGGATTAACCGCTCTTTTTTCACCTCCGGGGAGGCGAGCATGCGTGCACAAACCAAGTACAAACACTCAGGCTTGTACAAACCAAAACCTGGAGCCGAGGGTACGAGTTAGCTCAGCGCGCCGTGCGTCACGAGCGCCGCGAGGAACCGGGCCTCGTCGACGGCGTCCGCGTCGCGGTCGGCGACGGCGGCGAAGACCGCGTCGCGCTGGGCGCCGGCGAGCCCGAGGCTCTCCATGAGCGACTCGAACTTCGCGGCGTCGCACCGCCCGCGGCCGTGGGGGTCGACGACGGCGAAGAGCTCCCGCGCGCGCGCCTCCGCGTTCCGCAGCAGCAGCCCCCCCGCCGGCGGCGCGGCGCCGGCGAGCTCGCTCTGCGCGTCCGCGCACGCGCCGAGGCCCGCCGCGAGTTTGCGGAGCGCGCGCGCCGTCACCGGGTCGCGCGACGCGGACTGGCCCGGCGACCGCGCCTCCACGAGCGCGTCGATGCGCGCGGTCATCGAGCCCTCCTGCGCGTCGCCCTCGAGGGTCAGCGCCGGCGCCTCGAGCTTCAGGTTGATGCGCTCGAGCGCCTCCATCATGCCTCCCGGCATGTCGTGCCGGCTCTTCCACAAGTCCATGACGTTGTCGTCGCCGTCGTCGTCGAAGCAGCCGGGCACGTCGGCGACGGGCCGCGGCAGCTCGGGGGTCGACGGCTGCGGCGTCGGGAGGGTCGTCGTGCTCCTTTTGGCGGGGTGCATCTCGGCCATGTAGGGCCAGGTCGCGAGGCAGCGGTAGGAGCCCATGGTGGTGGCGTGTTCGAGTGACCTTTTATGCGACGCGGTCGATTGCGCGAATGGTTCGATGCGACGCGGTTCTTGTTGCTGGGTCTCGAAGGCTAGGACGGGCTGCCCGCATTCGTAACCATCTCGAACCGCTGCCTCAATAAGGCAACATTGCCGTCGCCTGTTTGAACCCGCCGATTTTGGGCACGAGGCGCGTTTCGCGCGGTGCGTGCTCGAGCGGGGCTAGGGGGGGCAGGCGTGTTCAGGCGGCGGTGCGGGGCGCGATACTACTTACGCGCGCGGCGCGCGCGCGGTCGCCGTCGCCAGCTTCTTGATCGTGCAGTCCCAGAACGTGCTGACCTGTATGTCCGTGCGCCCGGGGAGCAGCTTCGCGATCGAGACCCACTTGTTGGGCATCTGGCGCTGCGCGTCGCGGATGATCTCGATCTCGCCGTCGGTAAAGGGGTCCCGGTTGACGTTCGGGTCGAGGTGATCGCGCCAGCGGCAGCTGATCTGCCGATCTGTCCGCCAGTCCTTCTCGTCCAGCGTCTCGTTGAACGCGACGGCGAGCTTCGCCCAGAGCTTCGGTCCGCGGGCCTCGACGAGGTCCCGGACGCGGTCGTCCTCGTGGGAAAGCCACGGGCGCTGCGGGCCCAGTGGTTTGCGCCGTTTCCTTGGCCGCGACTCGCTGCCCGGCATCGCGACGGGCTCGGCGGCGGGAGCCGCGCGCGCGGCCGCCGCGCCGGCGTCGCGGTCCGCCGCCGCCGCGAGCTCCCGGGCGAAGTCGCGGCGCCCGTCGGAGCCCGCGGACAGGATGTCGTAGAGGCCGGCGCGCAGGTCGACGCGGTCCGCGTGCCCGACGGGCAGGCGCGCCTTTCTCACGCGTTCGCGCACGTTCTTCCGCCGCCGATCCGGGAGCAGCGCCGCGGCGACGTCGGAGACGAGGCGCTCGTCGGCGCCGCCGAGCACCTGGGCGTGCACGAGCTTGAGGTCCTCGACCTTGGTGTAGGCGCCCGTCCGGAACGTGGGCGCGCCGGCGCCGTCGACGGGCGCGGCCGGCGGCGCGTCGCCCATGATGGCGTCGCCGTCGGCGCCGTCGCCGTCGGCGCCGTCGCCGGGCGCGCCGTCGACGCCGGGCGCGCCGTCGACGCCGGGCGCGCCGTCGACGCCGGGCGCGCCGTCGCCGGGCACGCCGTCGCCGGGCGCGCCGTCGATGGGCGCGGCGGCGCCGGGTTCGCCGTCGCCGCCCGCGGCGAGGCACCGCCGCAGCGCCGCGAGCTTGGACACGTAGACCGCGGCGCAGCCGGGCTCGCGCTGCCGCGCGGCGTCGAGCGCGGCCACGCGGCGCTCCGCGAGGTACGGCTTGCGCGGCGCTCGGGGCTTGCGCGGCGCTCGGGGCTCGCGCGGCGCTCGGGGTCCGGCCGCCGCCCGGAGCGCCGCCGCGTCGTGCGGCGCGGCGGGCGACGGCGCGGCGGCGAAGGCCGGCGCCGCGGCGGGCGACGGCGCGGCGGCGAAGGCCGGCGCCGCGGCGGGCGACGCGGCGGCGGCGAAGGCCGACGGCGCGGCGGGCGACGGCGCGGCGGGCGACGGCGCGGCGGGCGACGGCGCGGCGGCGGGCGACCGGCGCTGGTCCAAGAGCGTGCCCAGGGGGTCCGCGAGGACCATAGGAGGCAGGCTCGCGCGCTGGCCCGCGAGCCGGTCGCGCCGGAGCTTGTTCCGGTCGTCGAGCCACCGCCGGCGCTCCGCGGGCGGCAGCCGCGCGAGCCGGTCGCGCCGGAGCTTGTTCTTGTGGTCGAGCCACCGCCGGCGCTCCGCGGGCGGCAGCCGCGCGAGCCGGTCGCGCTCGAGCTTGTTGCAGTGGTCGAGCCACCGCCGGCGCTCCGCGGGCGGCAGCCGCGCGAGCCGGTCGCGCGCGAGCTGGTTTGTGTGCGCGCGCCGGTCCGCGAGCGCGGCGCCGGGGGGCTGCGCGGCGTCGACGAAGCGCGACGCCGGCGCGCCGCCGTCGAGGCCGTCGACGAGGCGGGCCATCGCGTCGTCGTCGACGGACAGCGCCGGCGTGTTATCGCCGTAGGTCTCGGCTTCCAGGCGCGTCAACAGCCCGTCGAGCTCCGCGTCGTCCTCGCCCGAGGCCGCGGCGCCGAGGTCCGCGTCGCCGAGCGGGTCCGCGTCGCCGAGCGGGTCCGCGTCGCCGTCGCCCATGAGCATCGCCAGCGCGTGGTCGTCGCCGCGGACCGCAGCGTCGCAGATCGCGTCGAAGTCCGCGGCGTCGCCGACGAGCGGCGCGTCGCCGCCGAGGTCCGCGTCGCCGTCGCCCATGACGAACGCCAGCGCCTCCTCGCCGAGCTCTGCGTCGCCGTAGATCGCGGCGTCGCAGATCTTGTCGAGGTCCGCGTCGCCGAGGCCCTCGTCGTCGCCGAAGTCCTCGCCCGAGCCGTCGTCGAGGGACGCCGCGCTCGCGGCCACCGTCTCAAAGGACGGCACGTCGCGCGCGGCGCGGGCGCAGAGCACCGCCTTGGCGGCGGCGCGCTCGGCCTCCGCGGTGCCGCGAAGGATGAGCTTGCTCGCGACAACGGCCCCGCGGGCCTCGTCGAGTGCGGCGACGGCGTGAAAGAACTTTATCGCGACGAAGGTGTCGTCGTCGAGCTGGAGCGCGGCGACGATCTGCTGCCCCGCCATCTCCGCACTGAGCGCGTACGCCGAGGACGGATTCATCTTGAAGACCGTCGTCGCGAAGACGCCGAGCGACTTGATGAAGTCGCCGTTCTCGTCCGCCGCGCCGGCGAAGAGGACGATGTTCACGCCCATGTCGGAGAGGACGATGCGCCACTGCTCGACGCCGAGCTCGCCCGAGACGACGCCGGCCTTGAAGAGTCGAAGCTTCTCGTCGGCCGACGCGGACTCCGGCAGCTCGAGCGCCGGCAGCTCCGGGTGGTGCTTGCGCAGCGTGTTGTACTCGAGTATGGAAGCGACGATCGCGTCGAAGTGCGGCCCCAGGCTCTGCGCGCCGTGCGCCGTCGCGCCGTGCGACGACAAGCGCACGTGCCCGGCCTTGACTCCGCCGCTCGTCATTTCCCTCAGCCGCTTCCATTGATCCCTGACGCGCTGCTGGATGTCGGCTGCCTGTGCAAGGTGAAGGTAACTTTGCATGTGGTGTCGCGCGCGTCGCGCGCGTCGCGCGCGACGCGACCCCGCACGTCTTTTCTCTCCTCTACGCCCGCGCGATCGGCGCGGCCGCGAGGCACCGGGGCCCGGGGAACGAGAGGGCGCCGTCCGCGCGCGCGCGGCCGCGCGACGACGCGCCGCGAATACTCTCGCGACGACTCGAACAAAGACGCCGCGCGCGCGCCTTCGAGTTCGGGATCATCGGCGTCAGGCCCAGGCCGGACGCCGTGTAGCCGCGCCGGTTCTGGTTCCGGCCGCCCTCGCTGCCGATCTCGAACTTGCGCATGTCGGCCGCGACGTCGCCGATCGCGGCCGCGTCCTCGTCCGCGAGCTTGCACACGCCCATGTCGTCGGCGCCCGCGTCGAGCTTGGCTTGCAGGGGTTTGTCCGGGAACGTGCCCCCGCAGAACCCGGCCTTCTCGGCGTCGCCGTACGAGACGGACTCGTCTTGAGTGACGACGATGAGTCCCTGCTGCTTGACCTCATCAGAGCTCAGTAGAAGGGGGACGCCCACGAAGGGGCGGGCGGCGGGCGCGGGCCCGAGCCCGGGGGGAGGACCACCCATGATGAAAGCGAGCGCAGGGACGAAGGTAGCGAGCAGTGCGCGCGACATTCGCGTGCCAACGACGGCGTCCTCTCGACCGCTTTGAAAGTTTCGCCACAAGCGCTTCACCACGCTTTGTTGATCTCGTGTGTGCCTCGCACGAGGCGCCGGAAGACGCGAGCGTGCCGCCACAGCTCGAACAACCAGCAGGGGGCCCCACGGTTGGACAGCGACCCGCCCGGATCCGGCCATGCGAACGTCCGGGAGTCCGCTCCTCAATCACAAGAAGCGCCCCTCCTCGCCGACCCCCGCGGCGCCCGTCCAGTCCACGCGCGAGTCCATCCTCATTCTGAGCGTCACGCTCCTGTCCATCGCGCTCTTCTGCGTGAGCCTCGTCCAACAACCACACGATGAGCTCGACGCCCGCCCTCTCGGAGTATGAGCAGCTCCGCGAGGCCAACATCGCCCGGAACCGGGCGGTCATGGTCGCCCTGGGCTTGGTCGACGCCGACGTCCGGCTCCACGACGCCGGCGGCGCGAAGCCGCCGCCGCAGAAGAAGCGCACGCCCGCGGCGCCGCCCCGCGAGGGCGAGCGGCGGTCCAAGCGCGCCCGGGGGCTCGACCCCGCGGGCGCGCCGGTCCCGCGGCCGGCCGCCGGCGACGGCGACGGCGACGAATCGAACGGCGCGCACGCCTCCGCGCTCGCGGCCGAGCGCAACGCCGGCCAGCAGCGGCGCGCGACCATCGTCGGCACGGCGTCCTACGCCCACACGCTCATGCGCGTGCGCTCCATGTCCGAGGACGCGCTCCGGACGCGGATGACCAAGATCGAGAAGGCCAAGGGCCGCCACGCGGTGACGAAGATGCGCCTCTTCGCGCGCGTCGCCTACCTCGAGCGCCTCTACGACCTCGCCGACGCCTGCAAGGACGCCCTCGAGCGCCTCGTGGACGCCCTCGGCGACCCGAAGGACGACGAGACGACGGACGCGCCCGCGCCCGACCTCGGACCCGCGGTCGACGACGCGTAAGTGAAGCTTCGAACGAACCGGTGTGTGTTCGGCGTTGCGCGTGTCGTGCGCCCTCGGACATGGACCCTCGAGCCGCTTTCGTGTTCGGACTCGTCCTCGACGCGCCCGACGGGGCTACGCGTATTTGAAGCGACGGCGCCGATGGATCCGGCGTGACATGTTGAAGGCGGACTGGAACTGCTTCGAGAATCGCGCCGGTGCGTGCTCCTCATCGGGCGGCCACGACCGGCGCTCGAGGCGTCCGGAAACTGCAAGCACGGTCAAACTTTAGAACAGGCCTTCAAACTTGGCCTGAATCACATTCGCCTCGCCGCATAATTCCATCGGCTTCGCCTCGAGTTCGCTTGCTGCCGCCACCGCTGTGCCACCACCAGCTCCCAACGATGTCCGCCGAAGCTCCACCATCGATGGACCTCGGCGCGCCCGACGCGGAGCCCGTGCCCGGCCTCGAGCGCGACTTTCCCGGCGATGACAACGGCTCCGGCGCCAAGGCCGTCTACGACGCGGGCGGCGACACGCGGGCGGCCTTCGACCGGTTCAACGAGGACTACCCGGAGAGCGACGAGTCGAGCGACTTCGACGACGACTACGAGGACAGCGACGCGCCCATGGACCTGCTCGGCGACGGGTCCGTCGTCAAGCGGCGGACGCAGGCCGGCCAGGGCTGGGAGCGGCCCAAGGATCTGTGCGCCTGCGTCGTCGAGTACGCGGTGGTCGCCGGCGCGGCGGCGACGAGCGACAGCGGCGACCGGCGCGAGGTCGCGCCCGCCGCGACCGTCGAGTTCGCCGTCGACGAGGACGACGCGCCGCTGCCGTTTCTCGACGCCGTCGTCAAGTCGATGCGGGCCGAGGAGGTCGCCGTCGTCGCCGTGCGGAAGGGCGTCGTCGACGCCTGGGGCGACGACGCCGACGTCTACGAGATGACCGTGACGCTCAAGTCCTTCGTCAAGCAGCCCGTGGGCCACGAGATGGACGACGACGACGCGAAGAAGCAGCACGTCGCGGGGCTCAAGGCCAACGGCAACGGCTGGTTCAAGAAGGGCGACCTGGCGCGGGCGAAGCGGCGCTACGAGGCCGCGGTCTACTTCGGCGAGTACGAGGACTGCTGCAAGGACGACGTGCCCGCGATCCGCGGCAACCTCGCGATGGTCGCGATCTCCTCCAAGGACTGGCACGGCGCCGTGGCCAGCTGCGACAAGGTCATCGCCGCCGACGCGTCCAACGTCAAGGCCTGGTACCGCCGCGGCGTCGCCTGCGGCGAGCTCAAGGACTTCGACAAGTCCGTCGCCGCGCTGAAAATGGCCATCGAGCTCGACCCCAAGTCCGCGGCCGCGCGCAAGGCCCTGAAGGACGTCGCGGCGAAGCGCAAGGCCGCCAAGGCCGCGGAGAAGGCGACCTACGGCGGCATGTTCGCCAAGCTCTCCGGCTTCGCGTCCGAGAACCGGCCGAAGACCGCGGACGACGACGAGCGGCGGCGCGACGCGGCCTTCGACGACGACGAGGACGACTGGGAGGAGCCGCCGAATCCGGTCGCGCCCATCGTCCACGCGACGGGCCTCACGCGCTGCTTCTTCGATATTTCCATCGGCGGGGAGCGCGCCGGCACGATAACCTTCGAGCTCTTCGACGACACCGTCCCCAAGACGGCGAACAACTTCCTCAGCCTCTGCCTCGGCGACAACGACAAGAAGCTCACCTACAAGGGCTGCGCGTTCCACCGCATCATCAAGGGCTTCATGTGCCAGGGCGGCGACATGACCAAGGGCGACGGCACGGGCGGCGAGTCCGTCTACGGCGGCAAGTTCGACGACGAGGCCTTTGTGGACAACCACGACGCGCCGGGGCTCCTGTCCATGGCCAACGCGGGCAAGAACACGAACGGCTCCCAGTTTTTCATCACGACCGTGAAGACGCCCCACCTGGACGGCAAGCACGTCGTCTTCGGCCGCGTCGTCAGCGGCATGGACGTCGTATCCAAGCTCGAGGACGTCGCCGTCGACGACGCGTCCAAGCCCAAGAAGCCCTGCGTCATCGACGACTGCGGCGAGCTGCCGCCCGCCGAGGCGCCCAAGGACGACGAGGCGGCGAGCCTCCCGGACGCGGAGAACGAGAGCGACGCGCCGTGAGCGAGGCCCCGCGCGCCGCCGCCCCGCCTGTAATGCATGAACTGCGACGTCCGCGCGGGGGCCGCGGCTTCGAAGGAGGTTCCGCGGGCTGCACGCGGGCCTGCAAATCTGCAACAGAGGCTCAAGTATCAGCTTCTCGGGCCGGCGTTGCCGAAGCTGCCCGATCGAGAGGTCCCCTACGCAGCATGGCGGCCGAGGAAGCGGCCGTGCTGGCCGTGTTCATCACGCTCGCCGTCGACGGCGAGGAGCGGCCCTACAGCGTGCGGCTGAGCGTGCCGGCGAGCTGGAAGGGCAAGGACATGGACGCGCTGCTGCGGGCCTTCGTGAAGCGCGCCAACAAGACCGACGCCTTCCAGAGCGGCGCCCTCGAGGCCAGGCACCTCCAGCTCGAGACCGTCAAGGACATCGGCGCCACGCTCCTGGGCCGGAAGATCGGCGCGCTCTTCGCCGGCGGCGCGAAGCGCGCGGACCTCGTCGCGACGCCGCGCGCGTCGGCGTCGCCCGCGGACGGGGCCGGCGCCGCGCCCGCGCTGAGCAGCCTGACCTTCGCCAACGAGACGGAGCGCGCCGGCGCGCTCTACCAGTTCATGGCCATCCTCGAGCAGGTCCGCGTCAACGTGCGCGAGCGCGCGCTCGCGGAGCAGGTCGCGCTCGCCGTCGGCGCCACGCGCATCGACCTCGCGATGGCGCAGACCGTCGCGCAGGCCACGGGCGTCGGCGGCGACGCGCTCACCGTGGCCCACCCGAAGGAGAACTGGTACGAGACCATCCACCGCGGCGTGCTCAAGATCGTGCCCGAGGCCTTCGTGACCGCGCGCGCGCCGGGGCGGGACGAGGGCGGACGATTGTTCTCTCTCGGCCGTTTCCCACTCGTTTCGGCCGGTTTTTGGACGAGCGATCATCCCTCGGAGCGTCCTCGACGCGTGGATGTGGTTTCTGGAACGCGCGCGGAACATTCGCGTCGAATCGCCTCGTTCCCGCGCAGGTACTCGCCCGAGCGGACGCCGACGAAGGCCGAGGCGAAGCTCCTCGCGGAGTTCACGACCAAGGAGGAGTCGAACAACGGCGGCCTGCTCAAGGAGCTCATCGACGACGACCCGAGGGGCATCCGCGTCCCCGTCGCGTCCGAGCGCATCCGCACCTACGTCGTCGAGCCCCTGACGCGGTCCGTCGGCTTCGGCGTGCCGAACGCGGCCGCGCTCCAGCTCTGCGCGTCCCACGCGCCCCTCGTCGAGGTCGGCGCGGGCACGGGCTACTGGGCCGCGCGCGCGCCGGCGTCCCCTTTGTAGACGCGGTTCGGCGGACGACGCCCGCGGCGCAGGTTGCTGCGCGCGCGCGGCGTCGACGTCGAGGCCTTCGACGCGCAGCCGCCGTCCGAGGACATGAACAACGACTTCTTCTTCCAGACGCGCGCCGGCGGCGCGGCGCGCGTCGACGGTTTCGCGAGAGCCGCGGGGGTTTCAGGTACACGCGGGTGAAGCCGTGCCGCGACGCCGCGGACCTCTTCTTCCCGGGGTCGCCGCACGCGGCCCGGGCGCTCTTCCTCGTCTGGCCCGTGAGCTTCGACAAGGACGACCCGCCGGAGGCCGCCGAGTGGGACTGGAGGTGCCTCGAGGCCTTCAAGGCCGGCGGCGGCGAGAAGGTCGTCTTCGTCGGCGAGCGGCGCACGAACGCGCGCGGCCGGCGTCCGCCGTTTTTTTGAGAGAGGAAACGTCCGCGCCCCAGGCGACGGCGTCGCTCAAGTTCCTGCGCCAGCTGGAGACGGACTTCGACATGGACGACGTCGTCGCCGTGCCCAACTGGTTCTTCACGACCGACGACTGCTCCGTCTGGACGCGCAAGGCCGGGGACCCCGTCGAACTCGCCGAGGACGCGTAAGCTCCGATGCCGGGGGTGACAACGGCCGAGATCGGAGCCTTGGGAATGTCGCGCCCGTTCGCCGAGACACGCCTCGAGACCGATTTGACAAAAGTGACACGATATGACTCGACGCGTGACAGCGGCCGTCCTCGGAGGCGTTCTCGTCGTCGTCGGGCTCGTCGCCTTGGCGGCCTCCGGCGGCGGCGGCGGGGCCGGACGGCGCCGCCTCTCGGAGCACGAGGCCTTGGCGCCCGAGAACATCCGCAAGTGGGTCGGGACGGGGAGCGGCGACGTGGCCGCCGACCCCATCGACGGGCGCCGGTCCATGGCGCACCTCCCGGTGACGGCGTACCGGCCGGCCGCGAGCGAAGCGGTCTGGCTCGACGGGGCTCGCAAGGGCAAGATCTGCGCGACGGCGGAGCTCCCCGACGTCGAGGCCTCCGCGAAGCTCTCGACGGCGTACTCGAACCGCGCGTTCTGGGCGACGAAGGGCGAGCCCGCCCCGACGCCGACGCTCGCGGAGCGCAAATCGTTGTCGCAGTTCCGCTACGGTCGACTCGACGGGGAGCACTACGCGGAGCCCATCGAGCCCCTGACGGGCGTCGGGCGCCACCCGTTCGCGCCGGCGTCCCGCGGCCGAGACGATGTTCGAGAGACCGGGACATCGATGAACCATCGTCACTAAAAGTGCTCGGTAGGTTCGCGAACGTCGGCTGCCCCCGCTCCGCCGCGCATCGCCACGACGTCAACATCTTCGACCTCACGTACCTGATCCTGCACAACAACTGCGGGCGCGGCGGCCCGAAGCCCCGCGTCCTGCTCTTCGACATGGGCGCGAGCGTCGGCTTCAAGGGCGTCGAGGGCGGCATCTACGCGCCGCTCCGCGCGGACGCCGAACGCGCGACGCCACGGTTTCGACGCGAGCTCGCCCGTCGCGCTTCGCGAACTCGACGAGAGCCGGCGCGTCGTCCGCGGGCACGCGCGAGCCGAATCGACGTCGATGCGACCGAGCGCGCGCGTCTCCGGAGTTCGGACACCGCGCAGGCCAAAATGCCGAGAGACGCGGGGGGGCGGACGCCGTCGCTGCCCCTCTTCTACAAGATGTACGAGGACCGGTGCCTCGAACCCGACGAGGTCTTCGCGTGGGAGCCCAAGCCCGGCTGCTCGGCCCGCGAGTGGTGGGGCGAGGTCCCCGCGGCCGTCCGCGCCAAGGTCCGCTACTACGAAGACGTCGTCGAGGAGGGCGAGCTGTCGCAGGCCGCGGGCGACGGGCCGCACCCCGCCCGGTCGTTCCTCGCGATCCTCGAAGCCAACGTCAGGGAAGAGGACTTCGTCGCCGTCGGGGCGGGAAACGCGTGATTCGACGTCGCTTCAACGTTCCGCGCGCGCGCGTTCCGGAACAAGCGTCCGCGCTTCGAGAGAGCTTGGAGGGATGGTCGCTCGTCCGAACATGAGCCGAAACGAGTGGAACACGGCCCTTTGAAGTTGGGACGTTCGCACTCTCTTCCAGGTTGCCGTCAAGGTCGACATCGACACGCCCTTCGCGGAGCTCGCGATCGTCGAGGCCATCGCGGACCGGCCCGACATCGCCGCGCGCGTCGACGAGCTCTTCTTCGAGTACCACTTCAACTACGACGGCCTCGATTTCGGCTGGAAGTGCCACATCGCCGGGCGCTGCCAGGGCGACGTCGACACGGCCGTCGGCCTCATGCGCCGCCTCCGCCAGCTCGGCGTCCGCGCGCACTTTTGGATCTAAAAAGTGCCAGTGCTGGAACTTCACTGGAAGCAAGTCTGGAAGCGAAGCTTGTGGGAGGTGGGCGCCACGGTTGCTCGCGAGTGGTCCTTCACTGGGGAAGCTTAGTTACTTGCGGGAGCGCTTCTGGGCCTGCTGCTGGCCCGCGTGGCTCGGCGTCGGCGGCGGCATCTTGCGCTTCTGGGTTCCCTGGCCGTGCTGGGCCGGGTGGTCCTTGCGGCCCGACGACGCGTGCGCGCGGCTCGCGTGCGCGCGCTGCTCCTCGTACGCGACGCGGAGCGCCTTGAGCTCCGCCTCCTTCTGCGTCGCGAGCTTCTGGAGGCTCAGCAGGGAGACGATGTCGCGCCGGAGCGCGTCGTAGGCGTCGCAGACCAACTTCGTCGGCGTCGGCCGCGGCGGCACGCCGAGCTCCTCGAGGATGAGGGCCAATTTCGTGATCATGCCCTTGGACAAGCCCGACGAGCCCTCGGGCACGCGGAGCCGCGCGGACTGGAGGAAGGGCTGGCCCGGCACGGGCCGCTTCGGGTTGACGCCCGACGCGTGGACGCCCACGGGCGCGGGCCCGTTGCGGTCCGGCGGCCCCGCGGGCGCGGAAGTTTTCGCGTCGGCACTCGCCTGGCCCCGCGCGGCCTTCTTCAGGCGCCGCGACTCGAGCTCCACGACCTTGAGCTCGTCGCGGAGCGCGCGCTCCTCGGCCTCCTCGGCCCGCGACCGGCAGAAGGCCACGTGGAGCTGGCGCCGCCGCTTCTCCTCGTAGGACGCGTCGAAGTCCCGAGTCCGGTCGTTGATGCCCAGGTTCGCGGAGCTGTCGACGTAGCGCGGGATGCCGCCCTCGCTCTCCAGCCGCGACGACCCCCGGGACCGCGCGTAGCGGTCGCGGCCCAGGGCGTGGGCCACGAAGTAGTAGCGGGCCTGTAATTGTTCCAGCGGCCGCCGCGGCACGGGCGCGAAGCGGTCGAGGATCACGGGCCACCGCAGGTCCAGGCGCTGGCAGAGGTCCACGAGGTGGTCCGTGTCCGACTTCGTCCAGGACCCGTCCTTCAACAGCCGCGCGTACTCCTCGTCCGTGTACGTGATCTTCTCGAGGCGCACGTCGAAGCGCGCGTACGGGTACTCGGCGAACTCGACGCCGCGCTTCTGCCAGTGCGCGAGCTGCAGGCCGTCCTGGCGCGCGCTGTGCGTGAAGGGCGCCCACTCCCAGCTCACGGCGCCCTTCTTGTCGCCCTTCTTCGCGTCGCCCCCGACGACGACGCGCCGGCTCGGCACGATGGGCGCGTCGCCCTCCTCGAACTTGCCGTGCTCGACGACGACCTCGCCGCCGGCGAGCATGGTTTTTTGAAGGTGTCTGCGGGTGTGCGGACGGCGTGAGCGGCGCGGGCGCGGGTTTCAGGCGGCGGCGCGCGGCGACTTGCGGCGCGACTGCGGCCCCAGCTCGGCCCACCTCGCGATGGGATCTGGCCGGGGGTCCGTGTCGATCACATGGCGGAGCGCGCGCGGCGCGCGCGCCTACAGGGGTCCACGCTGTGACGCTCTCTCCTCGCGACCTTCTTCCCCGCGCCCGCCGGCGTCGCGCGCGCGCCGGGGCCTCGTCCACGGCGTTTGGAGGGGTTTCGTCTGGCGCGCGTCGCCCGTCTGGTCGAGCTGCGGGTGTGGGACTTCCGCGCGACCTTCAACGAACTTAATGGAGACTGCCATCTCGTTCGGCCATACGCCGCGGTGGCGCACGGGCTCTCCGAGGCCGAGGCGATGCATGACTTTCGCGTGCGCCGACGACCCCGCTCTTCGGGGCAGCACTACGGTCGGCGGTCGACTCGGCGGACGCAGGCCTCGTGACCCGCTGCGTCGATCTCGAGGACTCGAAGAACAACCTCGCGGACGAGCAGCTCCGCAAGGCCGCCGGCATCGAGGACCCCGACTTCGCGGCCACCAAGTACCACGCGCGAGCCTCGAAGTCGCTGCCAGTGCCGCGGAGATGGACGCGAGCTACGACCTGGACATATTGGTCCAACAGGAAACCAACCCGCACGCCAAACAGGGGTGCCGCATCAACGCTGCAGGCGCCAAGAAGTGGCAGCTGTACTGGGACCACAGCGTCCGGTTCCAGGAGCTCGCGCGCGCGTTCGAGATGCTCGAGGTCCTCCGAGTCGGTTGCAAGCTTGCGGAGATCGGCATCACTGGCCTGTGCCCGACTCAGGCTCGGAGCCTCAGACGAACCGGCGGCGTGTCGCCTTAACCCTGGCGCCATCACACGCCTCATCACTGGGCCCTGGCACGCCTCCTAGCCGGCCATCGGCCTCTGCGATAGCCTTGCGATCTGGGCCTGCCTCCGCCAACAAAAACAGCGACGACGATCAGCTCAGCGACTGCCCCCGTGCACGAGAGCTTTTTAGACGACGACCATGGCCCCCGCCGCGAAGCAGAAGAAGAAGTCGGCGCGCCGCCCGCGTCCCGCGACGCCCGACGCGCCGAACGCCCCGCCCCCCGCATCCCCCTTCGTCGCCGAACCCAACAAACCCCTCGCTCTCCTTAGGTCGTGAACCTGAACTCGCGCCTCGCGCTCTGCATGAAGAGCGGCAAGGTCGCCCTCGGCTACAAGACGTCCCTCAAGACCATGCGGGCGAACAAGGCCAAGCTCGTCATCATCGCGAACAACACTCCGCCGCTGCGCAAGTCCGAGGTCGAGTACTACGCGATGCTCTCCAAGTGCCAGGTCATCCCCTACAACGGCACGAACAAGGACCTGGGCACGGCCTGCGGCAAGTACTTCAACTGCTCCATGCTCGCCGTCATCGACCAGGGCGACTCCGACATCGTCAAGGAGTCGCAGGCGTAGGGCGGCCGGCGGCGGCGCGCCGCCCGATCGCGGCGCGCGCCGGCGACGACGAGGCGACCGACGGGGACTCTTCCGCCCGCGCCGCCGCGGCCCCTTTCGCGGAGGTCGCGGCGGCGGGCGCGTTTTTCCGCCCATCGCGTCTGGGACCGCGCGGGGTAACTCGCCGTCCTGGATTTACGGGGGCCGCGGGGATGGATCGCGGACCGCTCCTCGAGCGAGCGCGCGCGCCGCGGAGCGCGGTGGAGGATGCGGCGTCGGGGGCTCGTCCGCGGTGTCGTGGATGACCGACCCAGGGGGGCGTGTTAGATACGCGCGGCGCGCAGGGCACGCCTAAGATTGCGTGCCTCGTCGACGACTCCCCGGCGCGCGAGAGAGCACCAGTTCCCGCGCCCGCCCAAGGTAGGCGCGTAGGCGGGGTGCGTCGCCTAATGCGCGAGAGAGAGAGCACCCACACTGTATACAAAACGCGCGTGCGCGGCGAGTCCAAGCCGCCGCGCGCGGGAAACGGGGCGGAACCTAGCCGCGGCGGATGTGCGGGAGGAGGCCGTCGCGGAGCTGCTTGAGGGACGCGACGACCGTGTCGGACTCGAGCTTGTTCGCCGTGAAGGGCCGGTTGAGGTCCTCCGCGAGGTTCCCGAAGACCGACACGGCGCCGACGACCAAAGAGAAGAGCACGTGGACGCCGATGGACGCGTCCAGGCCGCCGTCGAGCGTGAACCCGAGCAGCGACGGCGTCCCGCCGTTGTGGTCCAGCGTAAGGTACGTGTACGCGCCCACCAACGCCACCGCTAAGCCGCGGAGCACGGCGAACTGCTCCGGCGCGATGGACGACCGCTCGAGGCTCAGGCGCTTGCCCCGCGCGGCGATGGCGCGCTCGACGCCGTCGAGGGCGAAGCCGAGGTCGAGGCCGAGCTCGTGCTGCGCGTCCTCGAGCACCGCGACGACGTCGAGGAGCGGGTCCCGCGAGTCCGAGATCGACGCGAGCTCCTCGGCCGTCGAGCCGCCGATGAGCGCGTCCGTGTGCGCGAGCACGCCCGCGGCGACGTCCTCGAAGACCCGGCCCATCTCCAGCGTCGCGTGGCGGCCCAGGAGCATGGACTCGAGGCGCCGCGTCACCGCGGGCAGCGACGTGACCTCCTCGACGGCCGCGGCCCGGAGGTTCGACAGCCGCGTCGTGCTGTCGGAGATCGTCGACGCCGTCAACGTGCCGTAGACGATGGACATCAAGGAAAAGAAATAGCCACCCTCGGCAGCGTTCGGGCTCGGCAACGCGGCGAGCGCGGACGCGATGGGCGCGTAGCTGACGTAGGCCGCGGCCACCGCGGCGCCGCGGAACGCGTTCGACTGCCAGTCCATGAGGGGCTCGAGGGCCGACGCCGCCGACGCCGTGTAGAGCCGGCCCAACCGTTGGGCGCCGCCGACGCCGTGGGCCCGCGTCACGCGGAGCGACGAGTCGACGAGCGCGCGCAAATCGCGCGGCGTCTTCGCGGCGGGGGGCGCGGCGAACTTGGCCGGGTCCGCGTAGGCGCGCTTCGCCTCGCGGATGGGGATGGGCGGCTCGGCGCGGACGGGCGGCTCGTCGAAGTCGCGGAGCGTCGCGGCCTCCTGGTAGCTCGACGTCGTCGTCGTGGTCGTCGCCACGGTGCGGCGCGGCGACGCGCCGGGGCCGCGGGCCCGCGCCGGCACGAGGCCCGACGCGCTGACGAGGAGCGACGCGACGACGACGAGCTTGAGCCAGAGGAAGACGTCGATGTCGATGTGGGTCGCGTGGTGCGCTCGCTGCACGACGATCTGGATGCGCGGGCTGCTCGGCGGCGACGCCAGCACGGCGAAGAAGCCGCCCTCGGTCGTCGCGGCCGGCGACGCGGGCGGGAACGCGTGCGTCTTCGGGCCGCGGCGCACGCTCACGGACACGGACGGCCGCCGCCCCTTCGGGCTGCGCTCCGCCTCGCTGAGGCGCCGGGAGCGGACGCTGAAGAGCGGGGTCGTCAGCAGCGCGCGGGGCGATGGGATGCCCTCCTCGTCGAGGACGATGGGCGACACGGCGATCTTCGCCGGCATCGCTTGCTTTGAGGACTTGGCTGGCCTACGGCGAGGAGACCGCAGCGGCCTTCCTGTCTCGAAATTTAGCTGATGACACGACTCGGGTCCACTCGCCGCCTTTCTAATTTGGGCTGCCTCTCGTAAGATGAGCTTCAACTGCTGACAGTGAACCTCTTGCCGCAAGCAATGGGTGCTACTTGCGCAATGAACCCGCGCGCTGAAAGCCGCATGGCTGCGCGATGCGCATGCATGATAGCACTAATGATGACACGCACAAGCGCGCTCAGCCTGCGACGCGTTTTGCAACACACGCATCACCTGCAGCTGCTCGTCGAGCCGCCGCCGGCGACGGAGCCGGAGGCGAAGGAACTCACGCAACGTCTGGTCGACGCCACGGGCGCCGCGGGCGTCATGGTCGACCCGGTCGCGGCGCCCGTGCCGGCGCTGCCGGAGGCGGTGCCCGTCGCGCATGTCTTCGCGCCGGTCGTCTACTTCGACAGCCGGTCGTCGCCGGACGCGCCCGCGCCGCCGCCGGGCGAGTTCGCCGCGAAGCTCGAGCGCCGCGCGGGGTCGCGGCGCCTGCTGCGGGTCGTCGCGCCGCTCGCGCGCGAGGCCGACGTCGCCGCGCGGTTCGCCGGCGCGCGCGCCGTGCTCGTCGCGCGGCGCCGCGGCCGCGTCGACTGCCTCTACGCCGTCGAGGGCGCGCCGCCGCGGCTCGCGGACGACGTCGCGACGTTCTGGGTCGAGAGCGGCGCGCTGCCCGAGGCCGCGGCGGGCCACGCGCGCGCGTCGAGCGCGGACGTCTTCGTGCGGCCGACGCGCACGGACGCGCGCGCGCGCCTGGAGCGGTGCCTGCCGGCGGACGACGAGCTCTACTGGCTCTGCGACCGCCCCGACGGCGTCCAGGGGTCGCGGCGGATGCTCCCCGCCGGCGCGCGCTACGTCGCGGACGTGAATCCCGCCGCGCGACTCCCGTCGCGCGACGTCGCGGAGGAGCTTCGGGACGCGGGCGCAATCGCACTTGCCCTCCGCTGGCACGCGGTCGAGAACGCGCTCGGCCCGGGACGGGACTGGGATGCCCTCGCGGTGGCCGCGCGCGACCTCCGCTCCGTCGCCGTCGCTTAACTAACGTATCTAGGCCGCGGTCGCGTTCTTGACCTCGTCGTCGAGCTGGACCCAGGACTCGGGGAAGAGGGGCCGGCCGTCGATGATGCGCTTGGCCATGGTGAGCTTGTTCTCCTTGTGCTCCGGGTTGTTGCAGAGGTCGATGGTCTTCGCCGTCTCCTTGGATTTGTCGGAGCACCACGACTCGCACCAGAGCCAGTCCTGGGGCAGCGAGTGGATCGGGATGGAGTTCTGCGCGTAGTTGGGCAGGTCCTGGTCCAAATTCGACAGCGAGTTCGGGTCGCGGCTCAGCTGGTCGTAGACGCCCCGGAGCTCGTCGCCGATGGCGTGCTTCCGGAAGACGTCGAGGTCTACCACATAAAGCGCGGAGATGTGGTACGGCTTCCCCCGGAGGTGGTCCTTCCAGTAGCCGCTCCGCCAGAACTGGTAGCCCAGCGTCTCCGGCCGCGAGTCGCAGAAGGGCACGTAGCCGTAGGGCTTGCCGCCCATGTCCGTGTCCCAGAGCTCCCGCAGATCGCCGCGGACGACCTGGTCCGCGTCGACGTAGATGACCTTCCTCACGTCCAGGGGGAACAGCACATCCAGAAACAGGATCTTGTAGCCCCAGATGATGCGCTGCTTCACGGTCTGGCGCCGCAGCCACTCGGGCCACTTGTAGGTCACGTAGGCGACGTCGAAGCCCTTGGCCGCCGCGAGCCGCTCGGCGTCGCGCTTGAACTCCGGCGTCAGGTAGTTCTCGAAGAGCCAGAACTTGACGGGGCCCGACGTGCGCTTGCGCACGCTCAGCATCATGATCTTGAGCATGCGCTCGTAGAGGGCGCCCGTGGCCAGCGAGAAGACGTGGACCGTGTCGAGGTCGTCGTTCGCCTTTGGGGCTTTCTTCGAGAAGAAGCCGCTGAAGTAGCCGCCGCCGGAATCGTCGTCGTCATCGGCCTTGTCCCCGAGCAGCTCCACGTCCTCCATGCCCGCGCGCTTGCGCACGCGCAGCTGGTGCGCCGACGCCTCGAAGTCGTCGACGACGACGGCGACGCCGTCGGAAGCCGGCGCCGCGGCGTCGAAGACGTGCGCCGCCCCCCGCCGCCGCGACCGGTAGCCGAAGCCCCGCCGGTCCGACGCCTCGACGGTCTCGTAGAGCTCGCGGCTCTTCGTGCCGTTGGCGAGGTCGACCTTCCAGTAGCCGGGGCCCGCGCGCAGCTGGAAGTAGCCCAAATTCTGCATCACGAGCGTGTCGTGGCGCGATTCGCCCGTCGCGCGGTCCACGAGCTCGATCTGCAGCCCGTTCGGCGGCTTGCGGTGGACGACGTCGTAGCACTGGCCCATGACGACGAGCGACTTGAGGGCGTAGCCGATCTTCGAGAGCTCGCCGGACGACGCGTCGTCGCCGCAGGGGCCGGGGCCCTCGCACCGCAGGTTGTCCGGGTCCTGGGCCGCCGTGACCATCTGCACGTCCCAGGACTCGGGCGTGTCGACGCGCAGCGTGAGCACGTGCGTCTTCGGCAGGCCGCTGAAGAGGGCCTTGGGCGGCCGCGAAGAGGCGCCGACGGACTCGGCGTCCAGCGAGAAGCGGTAGTACTTCTGGAGCGGCACCTCGCTGAGCTCCGGGTCCGGCTGGAGGCAGATCTTGATTTTGAGCCCCAGGACGTCCCGCAGCGCGAGCAGGATGGGCGCCGCGCGCTGCGCGGCCTCGGACAGGGGGTCGAGCAGCGCCGTGACCGCGGGTTTCGTGGACGAATCGTCGTCGCCGCCGCCGCCGCTCTCGAGCGTGAGGATGCCGACCTCGGGCGCCTGCTCGAGCATCTCGTTCAAGACGCCCTCGACGTCGTTGCGCGGCCGCGACGCGCGCTTGCCCAGGAAGACGCGCGCCGCGAGCGTCGCCGCGTCCGACGCCGCTTCCCCGAGCACGTCTTCGACGGCCGCGGCCATGGGCGCCTCGAGGTCGACGACGAGGGACACGTCGGGCACGCTCCGCACATAGCTCCCGGGCACCTTGCGGCCGTTGGCGAAGAGGCAGGCCTCGCCCGCGCCGCAGGCCTCGCCGTCGACGGACGCCGCGGGCCCCTCGGCGGCGGTCGCCGCGAGCGCCGCGGCCTTCAGCGCGTCGCGCGCGGCGGCGGGCGTCGACGCCGCCCGCAGGGCCCGCGCCACGGCGTGGCCCACGCCGGCGCCGGGCGCCGCCGGGTTGTGCACGACGGCGACGCGCCGCGCGCCGCGGCTCGCGGGCGCCGCGGGTTCGGGCTCGTCGGCGTAGGGGTCGCCGTAGGGGTCGCCGTAGGGGTCCATGGCGGCGAACATGTCGTCGAGCTCGTCCTCCTCCGTCGGCGCCTCCGGCTCCTCCGGCGCGACGAAGTCGGCGACGTGCGACAGCGCCAGGAAGGCGAGGCGCAGGCCCGCCGCGGTGCCGAGATCGGCGACGACGACGAGCGACACCGCGGCGCGCGCGGCGTCGTCCGCGGCGAACCAGGCGTCCGCCGGCACGTCGTGGTACGTCGCCTCGCCGCCGTCGTCGGAGAAGAGGGGCGAGTAGCGCTTCGACAGGTGCGGCGCGGACTTGGCGTCCTTCGCGCCCTGGAGGAGAGCCTTGCCGTAGACGTTCTTCGTGCCGTCGTCGATGGCGCCCCGGTGGACGAGCTGGGCCATGCGCCGCTGCTCCTCGCCCAGGAGGGGCAGGAGCGAGCCCTGGACGTCGAGGCCGTCCATGACGATGCCGTTGAGCGCCATCGAGCCCGCGAAGGACACGCCCTTCGCGGCGGCGTACGTCTTCTGCGCGTCCACCGTCAACGCGACGTCCTTCAGGCCCGGGAAGTCCTCGCCCCTGAGCGCCTTCCAGCCGTCCTTCTTCGCGCCCGCGCGCTTCGCGGTCTCGAAGCCGGGCTTCGCGTCCTCCTCGCCCTTGGTCACGGCGTCCGCGTAGGCGGCGACGGCCTCGCCGAGGTTCGGCGCCTGGCTCCCGTACTGCACGGCGTTGAGCGCCAGCGTGGCGAGGAACTCCCAGGAGCAGCGCGGGCCCCGCGCGGCGCGCGCGAGCGCCGCGAGCGCGGCGACGTCGCGGCCGGCGACGGCGTCGCCGTTGCCCGCGGCGGACCCGCGCGGCGGCGCGGCGACGTAGGCGGCGACGACGGCGGCCTGGCCCGCGTCGTCGAGGTCGAAGGTGCCCGCGGCCGCCGCGTCCTCCTCGAAGGCGCTCGCGAAGTCGCCCGCGTCGTCGTCGTCGGCCGCGTCCGCGGCGTCGCCCAGCACGAACGCGACGCGGACCGGGTAGCCCTGGCGCATCATGAGCGACGCGATGTGCACCGCCTCCAGGGCTTCCACCGTGGACGCGTCCAGAAAGAAGACGGCCGTGTACAGATTCTTGGCGATGGACGCGAGATTCCACGACGGGTAGAGCAGCTGGTCGACGTTCGAGGGCCACCGCTTGTACATGGCGTCCTTCTCCAGGTTGTTTGCGTAGCAGACCGCGCCCTTGGAGCCGCTCAATAAATCGACGCGCTTCACGGCGGCGCGCCGCCGGCCCTGGCCGCGCTCCGCGAGCTTGAGGAGTTGCTGTTTGGTGTCAACACTACCAACGTCGAGCGCGTCGAGCGCGCCGAGCTCCCTGACCTCGTCGCGCACGGCCTTGAGCATGCCGTGGACGCTCAGGGTCGGCGACGACAGGTCGTGGGCCGCGCCGCCGAGGAAGAGGAGCGCGCGCTGGCCCATGCCGCTCTGCAAAGCGAACTGCGACGCGTAGGCGGCGCCCGTCCGGAGCTCCTCCCGGACCTTCAACGTCGACAGTGCCGACGCGTGGGACGGGAAGTCCGACGCGAGCTCCCGCAGCTTCTTCAGCCCGTCGGGCGCGTCCAGGATCGCCGCCGTCGCCTGGAGCGCGAGGTCGCGCGTCCGCCACATCTTCAGTTCGCCGGAAGACGCGGACGCCTCCTCGAGGAGCGCGTCCTGAAGCTTCTTGAGCTCGGGCCCGAGCCCGGGGCGTCTCGCGTGCAGCGTGCTGAAGACGACGCCCCCGACCTCGGCGCCCTCGTCGAAGCGCACGTCCTCCGGTTCGACCTCGGACTCGCCGTCCTCGGACTTCTTCTCGTCGTCGAAGTTGCGGTACTCCATGTTCTTAATATCCAGGTTCGCGCCGAAGCCCTGCAAGTAGGTCGCGTCGGCCAACGCCGCGGCCGCCGGCGGGCCGTGGCGCAGGAAGTAGGACGCGGCGCCCGCGTCCGCGAGCGCTTTACACGCCGCGTGCCACCGCGGAAATTCGGGCGCGGACACGTCGCCCACGAGCTGCACCGTCGGCGCGCTCGGCGGCGCGCCGCCGGGGTAGGGCACCTCGGAGCCGAGGAGGTGCGTCGCGTCGTCGCAGCCGTCGCCGCCGCAGACGGGCGCCTCGGCCGCGGCGACGGCCGCGGCGACGTCCCCGGGCGCGCAGGCCACGCGATCGGCGTGACCCGGCGACGACACGACGGCGCGGAAGCTCGTGGCGCCGTCGCAGGCCGGCAGGCTCGCGGCGAGGGCGCGGTGCGCCTCGACGCGCGGCGCGTACTCTCGGGTCGCGAGCGACAGCTTGAGCAGCGCCGCGCGGAGCGGCGGCAGCGATTCCTCGCCGTAGTCGAGCGCGATGGCGCCGACCTCCTCGTGGGTCGCCGAGGCGTAGGGCCCGGAAAACGCGCCGTCGATGGTCTTCCGCGCCTTCGCGTCGCCGAAGCCGCCGCCCACGGCCTCGAGGAAGGCCCAGAACTCGGCCGCGCCCTCCTCGGCGAAGAACTCGGCCGCCTCGACGAGCGGGCTCGCCGCGCTGCTCTTCCAGGGCGCCGTCAGCGTGATCTCGATGGAACGCGCGCTGGCCTGCGCCAGCAGCGTCGCTGCGACAGCGACCAGGGAAGCGAACGCCATGAGCATGCTGTGGCGAGCGCGTCAACATCGACCAAAATCGGCTTGTTTTTGTGAGCCTGGACGACTTGCGGCGCCCGCTCTCGTCGACTTGCGGCGGCCATGGCTCTCCGCGCGCTCTCCAGGACCGTGCCCGCGCTGGCGCAGACCGGCACGAAGACCCCCGTGCGCTGGGGCGGCGGCGGGGCGCACCCGCCGGCGCCCGCCCACGTCTGGACGCCCGCGGGAGGCTGGTGCGTCGCACGCGCGCCCATCGCCGCCGCGCGCCGCCCCGCCGCGCGCCCACGACCCGCCCGGACGCGCCCCGACCGATGCGCCGCCGTCGCGGTCGTCGGGGCCGCGCGCGCGGTCCGCGCGACCGGCGGTCGACCGCCTCCCGCGCCGCGCGGCCCTCTCACCCCGCCTCCCGCTTAGGTTCGTCGACCCGCCGAACTGGAAGACGAACCTGGGCTACGCCTTCGGCGTCCTCGTCTTCTCGGGCGTCTGCATGTTCCGGATCTCCATCAAGATGGAGGAAAGGCCCGTCGCGCCGAAGCACAACATCCCCGCGCAAAAGTGGGCCAACGTGCCGCCCACCGACCGCGACCACTGGTGAGGGGAGGTCGCGCGTCGCTAATTTCTTCGTCTCCATGTTATCGGGGTCTTCGCCTAGAGCAGCGGCCGCGGCCGGCCGCGCGTCTCGCCGCCGCCCCGCTCGTGGGCCCGGGCCTCGGCGACGCAGCCGAAGCCGACGGTGGACCGCGCGACCTCGGGCCGCGCCGCGGACCGCTCGAGGAGCGCCGCGCTCACGGCGGCGAGGGGCTTCGCCGGGACCGCGAGCCGCCGGAAGTTCGCCGTCGCCGCCGTGCCGTCGCGCGCCGCGGCCGCGTTGAGCGCGTCCACCAGCAGGCGGCAGTCCCGCGCGTCGTCGCACTCGAAGACGAACTTCTTGTGCTTCGTCGCGAACTTGAGCAGCCGCGGTTTCCGCGCGTCGACGAGGGACACCTCCTCGATGAGCGCGACGGGCACGCACTTGCGGTCGCGGTCGCCGAGGGCGGCGCCCAGGTGGGTCGCGGGGCGGGCGTAGACGAAGGTCGCGTCCCCCGCTTCGA